ACTCCTGGAGACCTTAAAGCACATATGTACATCCACAGTGGGTCGTGGCCTTTCCGTTGTAACATCTGTAGCAGAGGGTTCAGCAAACAGACCAACCTACGTAACCACCTTTTCTTACATACAGGTATGTTGGGAAACATTATGCATTTCATTTTCAGAATGCAAATCTGATGTTAATGTCACAGCTGGTGGCATTATATAACAGAGTATTTCTCATGAGACAAGACATTCAAAATATGACAAATCTCAGACACACAGGATTCTAATTATTAAAAGACACAATTAAATAAATTCAACCATAAAATATGTTCCATTTACCTGTATGCATTTCATTTGCTGTTTTCTTTCTGTAGGAGACCGGCCATATCCCTGTAAATTTTGTGGAAAGAAGTTTGCTCTGGCTTGTAATCTTCGTGCACATACCAAAACACATCATCACAGTGATGGAAAAATAAATAGCAACAAAGAAATGCCATCAGAAAAAACAGGTATCGCTAACACAGCATATGATAGTGCTGCACCAGGACACGAAGACAAGCTCAATCTGAACCCCCGTAGAGGGACAAGTGATACCAACTGTAAAATTCACAATACCTGGCATGAAAAGAATGACAAAGGAACACAATCGATTCTAGTGACGGCCCCTAACACGTGCTCTCTCCCGACACCAGAAACAATTCAACAGTTCCCGTCCTGTTCTTTAATAAAGAATTTCCATTCATTAGACAGTACTGAGAGTCCAATGAAAATTCCTTCTGCAACTTTTACAGATAACAAAAGATTGTTTCATATGAATTCCAATAATTGTGCACCTGATGATCTGTCTAAATCATTAACACATTCTGATCAATTGCATGATATAAGTAGGCTTGGATACACAAACATTTTGGAAGAACTATGGTCTGGAAATAATTCCTTCATTAATCAGTACAACATTCCACTTTCAGTACTTCCAACACCTTTCAACATTAACATGCCATGTTTAACATCCATATCATTAGCTGATTTACAAGCTTTGTTACTGATGCAAGCAGCTAATATGGCAATACTTCATGGAGGAAACATCGCTTTCAATGATGGGAAGTCACTGAAAAAGCAACTGAATGAACCAGCACAAAGCAGAAGTCTTTTACTAGCCTAATTATGGAAGTTCCCGTAATGAAGATAAAATATACATTGTGTGTTATAAAATAGTTTATTCTGTTTTGTCACTCTGGTAATGAATCTAAACACTCTTAGAGACAACAAATGTATCACTATTATTCAACATTTCAAAATCAGTCAAAACAAATACAAAAGAGAGGTTATAACTGCACTAAAGGATGTTGTTCCTTATACAGTAACTAAAGCAAAATCCTATACTGTTTTGGACATATTCGTGTTGCGTAAAATATATCAAAAAATTTATGTGCTGTAAATGTGACTTGGAACACATGGACAGGAAACACTCAGTGTACATTTACCTAGACTGGAAGAAGCGCAGTGTTTGGTAAGAGAAGATGAAACGTTTGCACGTATTGTTATGTTTCATGTATTATATAATTCAGTATGGCCTACTACATAAGAACTTGTAAGCCACTTTTCTTCATGTATGAAAAGCAGTATCACTAAGAACACATTCAAAATAAATTCATTCAATGTGTAAAGTAACTTACCTTAGATCTGTTATACACATACAATTCTTACCTAAGATTAATCTTCTTTATGACCATTTTGAATTTCAGTTTTAGGTTTCACCTTCCAATTTCATTTTCTTGACCTCTGCAAGAGCACCATCACCTACTTCATGTCCATCAGCTCCTTCAGTAACATCATCCACCTTCCGTTTTGTTGCTCCAGTCACACTGTCTTCTTGCCTTGTGTCAGTTTTACTATCTACTTCTACGGTGGAGTTCCCCTCAGTCTCTACATTTTCATTCTGTGCTGTGGCGTCAGTTTCACCGTCTTCCATCGTTACATTACTTTCTGATGTTTCCTTGCCATCAGTTGTTTTCTTTGCAAGGTAATTGTTGAGAGATGCTTGGTGTATAGATGAAGTATCCACTTTGAGGATCTCTCGGAGAGCCATCGTGGCATATGTTGCAGATGGTAAGCAAAAATCCAAGATCAGGGCTTTGTACAGGCCTTCTGTTTAAAAAGTCATATTATATTACAATTTACTTACTAACAGAATGCTTAGCAAACATCAAAAGATATGAACCTCAACACAATCCACAATTTATATCACATTACACTAATATTTACCGGCATTTATGTGTACGATTGGAAATCAAAACATAAATGCAATACTGGAACATTTTAATTGTATTATTAGCAAAACTGCTGAAGTCTAGTCATACTGTGGCTCAAGGTCAGACAGTGACATGCTGTAAGTGTGATTCAGTTGAAGTCCATTTGTACCAAGTAAGTGTGACATAAAATGGTTGCTCCACTAGAGGTTTGCACCAAGGACGGGCAACATTATGCCCAGTCTGGCTGCAATTTCCACAATAGTTATTCTACAGTTTCTGCATCAACAACACTGGTTCAGCTGCTTCTAAACATTCAATCCACTCCTACACATTTCATTCTGGCAAACAGTTCTGTCCATACCAGGCACCCAATCACTGATGGATATCTTCCCCCTCTGTTACTTCAGACAATAAAAAATACATAACTGCATACTGCTTGTCTTTGGTGTAAACCTCTAGAGAAGCAGTCATCTTTATGTCATGCTCACTCAGTACAAACACGGCACAACTGAACCACGACAACAGTATGTCACAATCTGACCTTGAACTACAGCATGGCCAGGCACCAGCAGTTGCCAATCATATGATGAAAATATACAATACTGCCCTTCAAATCCCTTTGTAATATACCATCAGTAACATGAGGCTCCAATGTGTACTTAGAAAAATTACTTCCAAATTCTTTACTAACAGATGGGTGTATGGTATAATTATGGAGGGAAAACAGGATATTTCTTTCAGAAGAGAGGACCGTGCCATTCATCAGTCTGTAGGTAGAACAGCCCTGGGAAATCTCATTTCAGTCATACAACTAACTCCATCATACAGAGAGGACGGAGTTTGATTAAACATAAGATTGAGGAATTCTTAGTTACTTTGTGAAAAGAAACAAGAAATACAGCACCACACAGTATTTTGCAAGAAACCCCTGAGGAAACAACAAGTTGGAAGACCAAGAAGAATGTGGGAAAATAATCTTAAGAAAATGGTGTAAGGATGTGAAATGGCCCACAGTAATGTAAGCAATGCAAAACATTCAAGTTCTAAGACCTGAGTTATGTTAACTGGTTAATTTAAATGTATCACTGCCACTTTAACAAACTGTCTTAATGTTACTGACTCATTGCCCTGATGATGGAGGTAGCAAGGACCTCTGAAATGTCGGTAAACTTCTACCACACTATGCGGCGCAACAACCCAGAAGACAGCCATCTTCAGACTCACAGCCACGAAAACCTCAAATCCTACAACCTGTACCTTATAATAATTTCATCTCTGAACATGACTGTACTCCATTACAATGTTTTATAAAGGCTGCATACAATCAAACCAGCAAGTATCTCTTTGTCAGTCAATGCACAGACATTCTGGTATTGTTACATTTCCATGCCAAGTTTGTTAAAGATCAGCACAAGATACTTCGATAGCCTGTGCAGGACTGCATAGGCATTCACTCTGTATACAGCAAGTTTTATAAACCAAACAGTTTATTGATAACACTTTTCATTAAGCCTATTTAGTAAGAGCCTCACTTTAATGAAATAAAAGCCATTTCCACAGAGACTGACTAAATACGAATTTCAATGATCTCGTAAAGCATAAACAATCTGATCCATTTCTTATTAAAAATGGTCTGAACCAAGGACATGCTTTTATCACCAATGCTTTTCAACTTTGCTTTAGAGCATTCCATTAGGGAAGTCAAAATCTGGAGGGATTAGAAATTGACAGGAAACATCAGTTTTGTTTTAGTTGGCATTTAAACAGATTCAAAGCGCAGAATATTAAAAACGCAGTGCATTTATTGCACTTTTTACGCTAGAACCTTCAAATAAAAATCCTATTACTCGTGAGAATGAACCTATATAAGAAGTTTTATAACAATCAGTCTTTATATATATATAATTTACATTTGTTTTCAGTTAGATTATTTCTGCATGTTTCAATTGTTTATTATTTAAAATTAACGCCATACTGCTGTAACGGTCCAAATTACATCTTCTGCTGAGGTAATTTAATCATACTATTAATATTTAATTTCTTATTATTTTATTAATCTGAATTTGTTTTAGTTTTCTTTACAAAATTGTAACTTTGTGTGGTGTTTGGAGTGTAGTATGGGATGGATACTTCCATTTCATGGCATCTACCAAAGTGTTTAAGACACAGAAGTGCGAGGACCTTCGGTTCCCGGAAGTCTTGGTTTTAACTCTAATGGGTAATAAATTGTCATAAATTGGGTGTTATCACCCCTCTTATGAATTGGTACAATAACTGATTCCTTCCACTGCTGTGCATTTCCTCCTTATTCCATATAGAGCAAATAAGTTTGAGTATCTCGAACACAACATTTTGCCTCCTGTTTTGATCAATTTGGCCAGAATCTGATCAGTACCCGGGAATTTATCATCTCCCACCTGCTGTCTAAAAATGAAATAATTAAATTATACAAAAGTAGAGTTTCACCATTGAATGGGAATTAAATTTGGCCTCTCACAGCAAGGAAAGAACATACATTGAGGGTATGGGAGAAAATGGTGTGAAGGATAATATGTGGGATGCGCACAGCTGCTACACACATGGAAGAGATTAAATAAAAACCTGAAGGGAAGGGGCCACTTGAAAGACGACGGTATAGACACTACTAAAATTTCTTTCTATTAGAGAAAGGGCAGAAGTGTAGGCTGGATTCAGAAAGGCAGGCTAGACACCAGAATTGGGCTCTTTTGAACTTTTGGGCTCCGTAAAAGATGGGAAATTTTCTGACTAGCTGGGCAACTACTAGCTTCTAAGTAAGGACACTCAGCTTCATGGGGTTAGGTTAGTTAGTTTGGTTGGTTTGTTGATCACTTACATCTAATATAATTTATAAGAAGCCACTTTTGCTCAAATTTTTGGTCAAAGTCAAACTCATTTGTACATTTCCTATATTCCTCTAGTGACAACACCACATTTATCCAAATTCCATGTGCAACTTTCTTCTAAAATTGGAGCTTAATATAAAACAGACACAGGTCATATTCATGAATACGGTTTAAGTAGCACAAAATGCAGCAGCAATAGACTTGCCAAAAAATTGTTCACAAGTTGTATTGGCTGCTATATGAAACAAGATATACAGCCTTCAAAATTTCACCTTTTGCTTGCAGCAGAAAGTAAGGAGTGGTGGCAGACTGTCAACAGCTGCAAACCAATACAAGACGGTCCTTGCCAAATGCAGCATTATAAGCAACACTATTCATTCATATGAAACAGGTTTTCAGTGCTTTTAGGATCAAACAAAGTTACTGCTATCAATTATATTATCCATAAAAAATTGAGGATTATAAGAAAAGCAGAACAAACAGAGAATTATCGTAATGCCAGAAAGTTTCATGTATGTAAAAGCTGCATCTGGGATGAGGGAGAAAAGCTCTTTTACTACAAAGTACAATCCTGACTGGGCTTATGAGCAAAAAGCAAAATTTTCAGAGGTAAATGAAAAGTTTTCTTCTTATTTAAATGAGATGTGGAAGACTGGTTATGCAGTATCATGTGAAATGCGGCAGTTGAAGGACAGAAGAGAAACTAAATCCAGGGTTTCAATGAAAACTCAGGGTGGTTAGAAGTACTTCAAACAAAAAAAAAAATTAATGTGCAAGACAGCAAACAATTATTGAAGAAAGGCTTTCTAATACATGCGAAGAAAAACTGCTAGAATTCCATTTACCAGTACCATACTCTGGAACGCTGATGATAATGAGATAAATTCAAAGAGAAATGATAAGATCATTGAAGAACAGCAATAATAGTAAGTATGCTATTATACTGTTCCCAGTAGTGGCTGCAGTTCCAAAACGACATGGTCTGTCCCCTTTACAACAATAAAAATAGAAATAACAGTAATGATGGTAGTATATATTCAGCCATCACGAACGTCTGTGACTTGCCACGTAAATACAATTTATTTTATAAACATTAAAAAAGTGGATGTGCATCTTATTTGGGGATGTGTGATATTTGGATAAATCGAGTAATACGAAGCACACAACATTTGATAAACAGCAACTGGGCAGGCTGCGAGAACCTTCAGACTGTAGACCAAGCTTAGTTACTGAAATGCTGTAAGATATGTTATACAACCACTGCTTGCAATTAAGCATCTTCATGTATCATTAGTATCCATAAAGCCCATTATAAGGCAATTTACTCATGCTCCCAGACTTTTCAACAAATGTGCACATTAACAATTACCTGGGTCATCCTTTGGTTCCGGAACATTCTTCAGCTCATCTAAATCAGACTGAATCAACGTAGATGTCAGGCTGGAATACTGCATTGTTTTCCAGGTAAGGTTTTCTGGTCGCACAATCATGCGTCGGTAGGTGCCACTCACTGAATATTGCCTGCAATATTATAAAAAAATACTGTCATTTGGGTTCTAAATTTAAGCTCAGATTTCATCAGGCAATATCTTCACAGCCCTGAAATTTGACACAAATCAATATAGGGCATGCTTAAGACATGGCATTACTATTTCAATCAGCAAAAAAAATGTGTTGGATAAACTGAGATAAGACAGTCATGCATGTCTATGTACATAAACACAAACCTGATACACTTTAGAAAGGTAGGACGTTTCCCCAGAGTAAAATGCACAATGACAGCACTAATTATTTAATCTATAATATTTGTCTGTCAATGAAAAATGTAAGTAGACTCTGTGGCTCTTACGCTGGTAACAATACAAGCACACTTTTTTTCTACAGTAGGATTTATTGGCTAGACCATTGAATATTCAAAATGCTAAAGATGTGAAATACAGAAAAAATAAAACACCAGAATCTTCATGGTCTGTGTTACTGTGAGATCTCCACCATGTCCCAGTCTCAAGAAATTTTTCAGAGGAGTTACCCTTCCACACATCACTGACAATTATAAACCTAAAACCAAGTCCTACACCAACAGTGACCTGTGACGTCATACTACAATCATGCAAATAATCACCCAACACCACCAATAAAAAAGCATGTGGATGAATATGGCTTACACAACTTCGGGGGATGTGGTTGATTACATTGCAGCTACTGCCAATGGAGTTAGTTATAAAAACCTGGTTACATTGCAGCTACTGCCAATGGAGTTTTAGTTATAAAAACCTGACATCTTAGACATCATATGGAGTTTATATAAATTAAACATAAACCAAAGAAAATAAAACTGAATGGACATTCATCATACTGAACATTATAAGATTCATGGCGCATTTTTATAACCGCTATTTAAACCCTTATTTTCATAACATCACATTCTGAATAAATGTTTGGGCACAACTGTGATTTACAGCACATTACATAAGAAAGGGAAGCAGACACACAAAAGCAAGGGCATGAAGAGACAATAACAAAGAACTCTGATTATTTTCCTTATTAACATAAACAGATGCTCAAGTGAAATGATAAAAAGAAAAAAATTACTTAATCAGTTTACTATTAATGTATTCCACTTCTAGATATTTTGTGGTAATGTGCTTCTCTCCTTCTTATTTTATCTAATATACTCTGCAGCACTAGTAACGCAAAGTCTCCTCACCGGACATTCTGCTTCATTGCCGTAAACGAAAGCCCATCAACAGACAACAGCTCCTCGTACCATTCTTTAACCACATTATTTGGGTATATGACATTATGACCTGGAAGGGGTAATACTATATCTTCTATTCTTGTATTCTCCAAATCTTCTTCAGTTATGGCTCGCACAGAAGGTGTCCTCTGATTATATTCAATGAGCGCACATGGCTTAGATCCCTCTGGATTCTCTTCTGCAGTACCTTCACCAGTATTCTTTTCCCTGTTGCTCTCTACAACCCTTTGTGTAGCTTCTCTTTCTTTAGGTTCCTCTACACTGCCTGTGTTCCCAGCAGTTTCATCTACAGCATCTTTTATGTTATCATCAATGTCTGACTTTGATGTATCTGCAGCATCTCTTACGATGTTATCATCAATGTCTGGCTTTGATGTATCTGCAGCATCTCTTACGATGTTATCATCAATATCTGGCTTTGATGTATCTGCAGCATCTCTTACGATGTTATCATCAATGTCTGACTTTGATGTATCTGCAGCATCTCTTACGATGTTATCATCAATGTCTGGCTTTGATGTATCTGCAGCATCTCTTACGATGTTATCATCAATGTCTGGCTTTGATGTATCTGCAGCACTATCACCACCTTTTATGATGTTAACATCAACGTCTGACTTTGGTGTAAGATCAGTTTCTGCCTCATTTATGTCTTTTTCTTCTGTGCTGCAAGTGTCATCTGCTTCAATATCGTCTGCTGTGTTTGGGGTGTTTCCTGCTTCTTTTGCAGCTTTTTTTGCTTTCTTTCTTGGTCTTTTCGGGAACTCATCTGATGCAACAACAGTTCCTTCCTGATCAACCACCTCTTGATAATCATTGTTATCAACAAACACCAAGTCTCCAACTATAGGTTGTAATCCAAATTCCTTTATTCTGCGAGAGACAATTTTGTTCCACACCAAACTCTGATATGAATGCAAGTACAGCAGACGAGTGTTCCGTGGAATCTAAACAAACAATAATTATGAATTAGTATTTCAAATTACACTACCCAATATATTCAACTAATAAACACATATAAAGGAACATATTTGTTGGTATATTAATCAAAAGGAGTAAAAAATCATTTATAATAAATCATTCTGGTCACTACTATTCTCAACTACTTCTGATCATTTGTTTTCTTCAAAATTGAAAGATTTGCAACAAGTTCATAACTTTTTAGGATTCCTAAAAATCACTGATTTTAAAGACATCCTGCTACTTGATGCCATGGCTGTATACTGAAATTCCTAAGCATCTGCACAATAGTTCAATAGTTAAGTGAATCCCCAATTTATATTACATATACATATATATATATATATATGAATACATGAAACAAAAATGGAATAAACATCACTAGCAGTGTTTAGCAGAAGAAAAAAGTACAACATAAACTCCCAATGTCCCACCAGACGCACTTCCCAAGGCCCTCACAAGGGCTACACTTCGAACCCTCTCTCTCTTTTTCCTTTCTCTCCCTCTCTCTCTCACACACACGCGCTCCTATTGGTCCACACCCATACCTGATTTGACACCTGCTCCCATTGGCTCCTATAAACCTAGCCCCACCCACCCAATTGGAACATTCATCACCCTGATGACGGAGGCAGTATGACCTCTGAAACGTTGGTTAACATCTACCAGACTACACGGCGCAACAACCCAGAAGACAGAAATCTTCATACTCTGATGACAGAGGCAGTATGACCTCTGAAACGTTGGTTAACATCTACCAGACTACACGGCGCAACAACCCAGAAGACAGAAATCTTCATACTCTGATGACAGAGGCAGTATGACCTCTGAAACGTTGGTTAACATCTACCAGACTACACGGCGCAACAACCCAGAAGACAGAAATCTTCATACTCCCCGTTGTGAAAACCTCAAATCATACAAGCCTGATCAAATTGTAGACTATAAATCAACGTTTGTATCAAGTACCAGTCCATGATAATACTAATAACTACACAAAATATAACTAGTTTTGTCTAACAAGCAGCAGCATGACTGTATATATAATTATTCTTAGCTAGATTTCACAAACATTGCTACCCGAAGAGAACCCATGTGAATTTTTTTAATATTTTTGTGTAAAAACTGGATTACATCATATTCTACAATTGAATTTGTTTAGCATGGAGCGCTATGGGAGGTAATATAAAATATGCAGTTGTAGACGTGGCAACATCACTTGTGCAAGTGGCCATCAGACAATGTAAGAAACTTGATCTTCAAAATATAAGACGGTTCCTCCCCTACTAACAATATTTTGGTGCTACTGGAGTGAACTATAATAATTTAGTCTGCATCAGTTTATTTGCCATCAGCACTCAGCTCATTATGGCTCAGTTTAAATGATGGGATGGCCTTCACCTGTCAAGAAACATTCTACATGGTGCTGTTTGCTGCACACCGCTCACACTGTGCAGACTACGGAAAATGTTATCTTGGATGGTGAACAAAGCATGTGCAAAATGTGTCATAATGACTTGTGGAAGACACAGACATAAATGGCACACACAATAATAATGGAAATAAAATGATTAAGGCAACTGTAAATGTTCAAAGTCTCAAAAACAAAAGATTTTATGAGAAGCAAAACAGGTAAACATGGTATTCACGCCATGGTAAGAAACTTTTAAATGAGTTATAGCTATGTCTAAGACTGGAGAAAAAGAAAAATGTTTTTCTACAAATTAGTAGTTGGGGACGGAGGGGTCTCTTCATGAGCAAAATGCAAAATTTCTAAAGGTAAAAAAAAAAAAACTTTATTCACACCTAAAAGGGAGAAGGTAACAATTTGGTTATCTGGTGTCAAGTGAAACGTGCCACTTGAAGGATTTAGAAATTGCAAAGAACTGAATCTAAGGTTTCAACAGGCCCAGGTTTCTTGCATTAGTTCTTTAAGTGAAACAATCTGTGTAAAACAGCAAATTAATATTGCACAAAGGTTTTCTAACGCATATGAAGAAAAAGATGTCTATATATTGTAATTTAGTAGTTTTTTTGTTTTTAGTATCAGTTTCACTCAAGCAATTGTTTTCTTAAAACCACCATAAAAATGGTGGTGCACATCATATTCCAGGACTCACATTTACAACACATACCCAGTCCTACAGATAATAAATAACCTACTTTACAATTATTTTAATATCACGATGTACAGCAAACAGAAGATCTCAATTTCCTGTGACCTGCTACCAAAGGTTCTCAGCATGGCAAAGTGACCATGTTTAAATGGTCAGAGAATTAAGATATGTAAGCAACTCTTCCAGTTGATATTGTGCAACAATCAGCTAACTATGAGTGTATTCTCAACTTACGTTTTGGAGGGCACCAACGTAATCATCAGGAGCATGCCTGCTCAGACCATACAGGAGCTTAGACTCAATAATATTCATAAAGTTCTTGCGTAACATTTTGGCTGCTTTTCTGGCATCTTTTGTCACCCACCAGTGCTTCCGTGCTCGTTTTATTGCCCACGGTTCATCGGTATTTCTTGGTTTCAAAATCAACTCTATAGCCTGGAAAAGAAAACTAACAATAGTCTTCACATTCTACATTTGCGCAGGTCAGAAGCAAACGATTTTAAGTCATTAAACTTATTCAAAATAAACAAAAGATCTCATTAATTTAGCTGCATGGAAGTAAAATTAAGGATAAGGTAAAAAGTGTTTTATAAAAGCTGTAGCTTGGTAGGATTTGAAACAGCTGCTTAATCACTTCACTTTCACTGGCATAAAACAGTTTCAATAATATATATAAAATCATATTCCACAAACTGAAAACATCAGTGATCCTGACTTACATCCACTAGCTTCTAAATTATCAATTTATAGAGGGCTATCTTCTGAATTGCAGCTCTGTGAAGGCTAATTTACCAATGTTTCAGAAGTCCTTGCTGTCTCCATCACCAGATGGAGACAGCACAGACCTCAGAAACACCAGTAAACTTCTACCAGACTACATGGCACTACAACCCAGATGCCAGCCATCTTCATAATCACTGTCATAAGAACCTCATATGCTACTTACCTATTTAAAGAATGATGATTCAGGCTTTCATTAACAAGGCAGAAGTTTGCTTTAGAAAGATTTGATTTGAAGAAACCCAATGAAGTAGATGCTAAGGGAAGTACAAGGTAGAAATATCCAATAGATTTGTGGCTTTAGAGAACTGAGATGAAAGTTTGGATATTAATAGTGCTTGGAAAAGTATTAAGGACAATATCAGGATATAAGCGAAGGAAAATATAGGATATCACAAATTAAAGCATAGTAAACCATGGTTTGACATTCAGCACCAAAAATTAATAGACAAATGGAAGCAGGTTAATTTAAAATACCTGCAAAACGCAAACTAAATCAGTGGAGATAATCTGAAAAATTAAAGACGTGAATCCAGTAGAATATTTAGGAAGAAAAGGGAATACATGAAAAACTAAATTCATGAAGCTGAAATTAATTACGAAAAAAAAAAGCTTTATACAGAGGCACAAATGAATTCAAGAAAGGTTACCAACCTAGGGGTAATATTATCAAAGATGACAATGGTTATCTGCTTGCAAATCCCTAAATGGTTTTGCATAGGTGAAAAAATTCCTTTAACCAGGTGTTAAATGTTTACAGGGTTGCTATTTTTTGGTCTGTGCTGGTGATATTAATCTTCTGGGCAATAATATAAATACTATAAAAGCAAACACAGAAACACTCGAGGGCTAGTATGGATGTTGGTCGTAGATCATGTCTCACCATCAGAATTCAGGACAGAATCAGAATATAAGGATAAGGTTTGTTTGTATTACAATTTGTTAAGAGTGTTGCACGTATGAAAATATGCAAAGCAATAGAACAGTATGTTAAGACTTAACCATTCAGCAATGGAACATCCAAATAGTCATTTACAACTCCAATTGATATATCTAGATGTGTGATTAGAGGTACTATAGTGCATTCACCAATAAACCAGAACCCAAATGTCACAGAAACATAATTTTTGACACATCTTATAAAATAGGTACATTGATTTCATTGTTTTATTGAGAAATACTTACTTCATATTGGGTTTGTCCTGTAGGGTTTGGGGGGTGAGTCATGCAGTTCCTACTGGGAACCAAGAAGTGACAGTTACATTCTGCTTTGTCAGCAAATGCACTGCACAGTACTGCCACACTATAGAGACTCCCTGTTTGTTCCATGATTCACACTAACATGTTTTAGGTACAAATTTCTGAAGTTATATAACTAGCATAAATATATTTACTTTTTCCAGCATGAGAAATACACTGTTTCTCATTCCTTTGAATACATACAAATTTAATTAGAATTACTGCAGTATAAATTGTACACAGCAAAAACTTAAATTATTTGCCATTTGATTTTGGGGGCAATCTTTACCCTACCAAATGTTTAATGGCCTTAACAAATATTCATTACAAGGACATTGTCTAGTGGTTTGATGTTTAAATATGTAATTTAATAGACTCAACCCACTATCATGCATTCATTTTGTATGATGTATGCAAAGAATACACAAAGGAGCTCCGGGTTCTATACTGGATTAACTCACCTCTTTCCACTCTCCCAAAAGCAAAGCTCTTCCTACTTCTGGTGTAGGAACAGATGATGAGCTTCCAAATCTTTGCAGACCATAATAATTTATAAAACCTTTCTCTTTAAGGTTAGAGACTGCTTCTTCAATCTGCTCATCTGTTCCAGTCACATTCCTAGAGAGGAAAAAAACTACCTATATTGAAATTCCACATTCTACATAGCAAAGTTGTGGTTCAATGAAAATGTGGAAGATGCACATGAAATATAATATGCAAAACTAATGTAACAGTCACTCATGTACACAAGTAAAAAAATAGTAAATGATGATATTAACACACTTACCGCAAAGAAATTCTGAACCTATTTCCTTTAAGGTCTCCCAATTTTAAGCATGTTGGTTTATAGGTGTAATTTCCTAGTTTAACACCTTTCAATTCTTTACTCAGTTTTGCCAGTTTTGCTGGATCAATTTTAAAGACACTCATCATCTGGCTAGTCATGGCTCGGCGGTCCTTCGTACCAGCATAGGTTATAAAATTTGGCTTCACCCTACAAAATTAGTTATAAACTTCAACACCATTAGTATTCTAACCTAAGATATGTTGAACACAAGAAAGAACAAATATTTTGAGTACAGAAAATAAAACAGTCAAATGAACTTAACTAATAACTTTACCCTAATTTTCCTGCAAGGTAATTTACAGTTTCCTGTGTATCCATATTCTCCTTGTGCAGAACAAAGTGAACATAAACTCCACCTCTGTCTGCAGGCCAACGAGACCGGCGGTCTTGCATCACTAAACATATTAAGAAACCATGTCTTCATATTAATACTCAAAAATTATTTGTTTTAAACAAAGTTTACTCTTACCATGTTAGTAAGTTACACTAGCTTGCTCAATGACTATGGTTCTGAAAGTGTAGACTGAACCAACACATACCTTTAGATCATTACATAATACCTCTATAAATCAGAACACTTCAGGTATCGTGATGTAACAAATGCAGTGCTCAGTATTGTATCTCTCACACACTACAGCAGAAAAATATACTTAAAAAACTTCACAGCATGAACAAAACAAATCCATTTTGTTACCATCTCACAGGAATTGTGAGAAACCCTTAATTAATAAACCAAAAAGCACATATTCTGAATGGTATTTAGTTGCATGCAAGCAGCATAAGGAGTGTGCACTATAATGCTTTATACTGACAGCAGTTTAGAAATGGGATGTAGGGGTGTGAACTAGGTAACAAATCTTCATCTTCATAAAAGGTGAAGAATTTCTTAATCAGATGAATAAGTTATCAGTTTCTCAACTCCGTGTAATGATATACTAATTTACTCTAGATATTGTAATAACCTTCACTGCAATATGAATGAAAATCTAGTAAACAAAGTGGAAACTGGTCAGTGAAAATTCTTAGTATGAAACTATTGTACCATAACAGTACAGTCACATACAATAAAACAGTGTTCCACAGCACAACGATGTGCAAGTACAAGGTATCCAGCGTGCCATAAATTTTTATAAGAAATTGTGTATTAACACATTATAGTTAGTAAAAGGTAATATCTATCGTCTGTAATTAGAATACGCAGTATGCACACATACAAGCATGCGTGCACGCACACAATTTTATTCAACATGTTAAATTTTGTTGTCATGTGCCTGCATTCTTGTAGGGCAAGGATTTATATGTATACATATTTATGGTCATATAAAAAGTCATACACCCTTTTCATGATACAAAATTCTGTGGTGTGCCATTATGTAAAGATTTTTTTAAATTAAACAGGGTACAGCAGTACATGTAGCACAAGTTTTAGGAGCAAAGTTATACTTAAAAGCTGCTTCCACTTTGTCTGCACCGCACAAGTATTTACCTACCTACTTTCTGATCCACAGAGTAAAAGTTCTATAAGTTAGGAAAGGCAGTATGCAGAGATGGTGCAAGAGCACAACTATTTTCAGTAAAGAAATAAGGCATGGGACATAATTACAGTTATTTGTTTTATGTATGAGGGAGAGTCAAATGAAAACCTTAAACATTTTTTCACAGCTTATATATTTCAGATAGCTTCAGTACTACTTTGCCACTTTTTAATAACGCTTCTTTTCAGATCATCTAACTGACTTGTACCAGATCTTAACAAGCCCGTTCCAAAATAAAGGCTAAAAATAACAGGTATTTTCTTGAAACTGCAGTAGACTATTATAATTACCATAAAAAGTAACAGTTGCCCATCTCTAGTATCAATACCCCTCAGGTAACATACACATAAGATAATTAGGCCCATAGGTTATTTAGAAATACTGTTTCAACTACATTATACAGCACCATAAGAGCTCAGAAGTTGGACATTAACAGGAAATATGCACAAATTTGGAAAGGTAAAGTCAGTCTATTTCGAGGAATGTTTCTGGCTGGCGCATGTCTGGCAAAACTGAGAAAATTCATGATAAACTTAAGTTATGACACACAGTATCCCTGCCAAAATTCAAACTGGGTGTCTTCCAAACACAAGTCTATTGTGTCATCACAGCCACCACGGCCAGTTGAACTGCTCATGATCTGCATGAATTCCACGTTCAACATGTGGCATTAAAATAACGACATGGACAGTCGCATTGATCATATGTTTATCTCTCACGGTATGAGAGAACATCACACACCCACCCACATCAATTCCATAATTAGTCTGTCATTAGTCACAGCACTGAGCACATTAATTTTATACTGTCATGTGTTATCAGTATTTTGTCTGGAAAAAGGCTATTTGACAACTACGAAGACAGAGTTTAAGCTAGTAGTGGTAAAGCTCCAATTTCCAAGTTTGTTAATTACAAGCTGTTATCTGACAAAGTTATATGTTACTCTGTGTACATTATCCCACAGGTTTACAAAATTTTATTCTGCATCCCCTTCATACTCACTCGCACCATCTTTACTACTCTTCTAAATTGCATTGTAACCTTTAAGATTTATTTATTATTTATTTAGTGTTCTGTCTGGCGACAGGTCCATATGAACAGGATCCTTCCATCCTTTTCTCGGACTGGGACCTGTTCATATACGTTCTTGGCAGATGATCCAGAAGTGGTTTGCCATTGCCTTCTTCTGTGTGTGAATGGAGTAATTGTTGGGATGCCACGGAGGAAAACTCCGTGTTGCCTAGACCACGGCCTTGCCCAACACAAGTTATAAATTCGGGCACCGCCGGGAATCGAACCCGAGACCCCAGGATTACAAGGCCAGCATTCTAACCGCTAGACCACCGTGGCCATTTAACCTTTAAGATACGGAAATTTAAATTTCCTGGCACAAACTCACGGTCAAATTAAATCAGCATTTAAATGCTTTGTAGTACAGAGGACAATAAAACAAACTGTAGTCTATTCTTTGCAACTGTTATCAAGAACTTTCAAAATACATTGTAGAATATTAAGGATGAATCACTTTTGTCTATGCTGAAGTTTCTAAACAGCCTAGCAGCACAGTTTACATACCTTTTCCAATTCTGATTCCATGATTTCTTGTTTATTCTTTGAAATATTGAAAAACAGATGAATTAGAGTGGCAGAAATTTTCTAATGCACTGTATCATTGCTTCATTATGATGCAACTTTTGTGGTAATAAAATCAGATCACCTCGTTAAAGCTGATAGCTGCAGAAAGAAATGCACAACCTATCATGGGTTCTAGTCAGTTGGTTCAATAATGTAAACTGTTATTTCTGTTCTCATAATTCTTTGTTGGCGCACTGACAAACACTCTGAATACTATATGTTATTAAAGTGATCATAAATGACTGATAACCCATACAGGAATAGTAGTCTAATCCATGCAGATTTACACATGTATTTGTGCCACTTCCATTCTGAAACTAATTTCAAGCTAATTATGTAGCATACTGCTTCACAAGAAAAGCTCATTTAAACACAAGGTTCTGTTATTTCCCAGATATATGCTCCAGTGGGACAAAGTAATAATTATGTAACACACGAAGGAAGAGCCAAGTCTATTAGTTTCAACTGCTGGAGTAATAGATAAACATAAGAACAGGAAAAAACTAAGCCATCTAAATCAAGTCAGGCAAGTGATAACAATGTTGACTTGTGTTACGGAGGTGCCAGTTTGAATTCTGACCGTGGCACAGACTATTCCGACCGAGGAATTCTGTCCTCTCTCTGTCACTCCAGGTGAATGATTGGATAATACATTAAAATGAACCATGACTTTCTTCCAAATCGTTTCTGGTTCACTAATATCACTACATAAAAAATAAAAAAAATGTAATATTTGTATCAGATGAAGTATGATCAAAGATACGGTCCACATTAGAACAGTCTTCCATGCCCACTTAAAGACAGAATCTTTCGGTACTTACATTTCACCAGTTCACTGACAATAAAAATTAGCCACATAAGAGAAAACAAAAATGATGACAGACCATGCTAAATAAGACTAATAACTAACTAACTCCCTGGTAGCAGAACCCGCTGACAACACCAAAGCCCGCCACCGGCCACAATACTGTGCCAACGCCATCCTCACAACCCACCTCCCTAAGATCCATCTTGATGTTATCCTCCAATCTCCTTCTTGGTCTGCCCAGTGGTCGTTTTCCTGAAGGATTCCCTACCAAAATTCTGTATGCACCCCTTGTCTCACCCATGCGTGCTACATGTCCAGCCCATCGGAGCCTCCTAGATTTCACAATCCTCACTATGCTAGGTGACTTGTACAATACACACAGCTCGTGTTCTAAATTCCCCACTTATTTCATCCCTCTTAGGACCAAATATCCTACTGTGCACCCTGTTTTCAAACTCTTGTAATCTATGTTCTTCCTTCAAAGTAAGAGAACATACTAACATTAAAGTCAATGATGCACATGCTTAATGTAACATCTTAAATGTTTAGCAGTGGTCAAAGTCATTCATTTCATTCTGAAAACTACAGAGATAAGGGGCAGAGTACTTCCCTGATTATCCAGGCAAATGATGGGAAGAAGCAGGAATAACTGAAAACAAGGATAATCCAAAATATTTTGTTTGGTGCACTAACAGAACTTCACAAATTGCTTTGTATTCTTTCAAACAACTGACGTCTATCTTATGAAACAGTTCGAAAGGGTCGCTTGTTTCTGCAACTCCTCCACATGATGGTACAAACTTCACTCCTTTCTTTGTTAGGAAAACTTCACAAATCATCTCATTCTTGATCCGAAGGAAGTTTCCTCCATGATCAAGACAGCGTTGCTGAATTCACGGAAGACCATAGTTTTCTTCAGGCTGTCATCTTCATCGTCAAGAGTTCTGAGAAGATCAGCCCAGCAGTGTAGTTTCATAGACATAATAACTACCCATAATTTATGGTTATTTCTGCTGCTGAATCTCCATTCTCAAAAATTTCAGTCCACTCAAGCTTCTGTTTTACTGCTAGAGCAATTTTCTGATTACTTTCAGCCACTTTCTACAGTGTTAACTATCATTTTCACCTGATACACAATACAACATAACTGAATTGACTGTTATGACTCTCTTACACCTATTCCTCAACTTGTGAACTTCCGATTTACAAAATTTCGTTGCAAGAAACTACGATGTTTTATTTGGCATTTCAAATACTGCTTTACACGGTTAAATAGGTAACAACTATCACACTACCGTTCTTATGTTTTATGATTGCACGGTACTGTAACCTATCAGGGAAAAATTAGTGAATCTTGTGGGAGTTGGAAACGAGTCAGAGTTATTTACATTGGCATTAATGACAGTTTCATTTTTGGTTTATCGTGCATGTGTAATCCACACACAGATAGTCGGAAGTCAACTGTGTTTAATTAAAGCCTGTGGATGAGAATAGCAGATCAAAGTGTTGTATAATGTTTTGAAACAGCAATACAGTGTTATGTTCTACAGTTTCCCAATGCGGTACAGCTTTTTAAAACAAAAGCAACTTATCTAATGGCTTGGATTTTTTCCCAGTATAAATCAGGATAATTTCGTATGCTCAATGGACACAGTAAACTCCTAATTATATGGGATAATGAAGGGTAAAGGACGCACAAATAATCGAAAACACAGATAATACAAAAAAATGTTTGGTGCATTTGAAGAACATAAAAAATTACTTAACATCTTTTAAAATAACCAATGTTATTTCATAAACAGTATGCAATGGTCTCTCGCTTTTTTGGCGTGTGCAAACTGTCCGAACTCCTTACAGCAGTATGAATTTCCTTGGCAGCTGTAATGCAACTGTCGGAAATAACGGACAGAAACGCAGTTCAATCTGGTGCCCTTCAATGATGTCTTTTTTCCCCACAGTTAGTAATTTCTGAATGCATTTCCACAACACATTACTATAAGGCAGTCTTTACACAAGTTTTATGCACATGAGCATGTTTCTGGCTTTCAAACCCAAAGGTTCTTGTGGGTAAGCCCTTCCAGTACCAATCACCTTTAGCATTCTCTCTGCATTACCATGACCACTGCAGCAAACCTTATTACCCCACACCAAAACTGACCAGAAAGCGGACAAAAAAAAAAGAGTGTCGTTCAATCATATCTTTCATACACCCTCCTAGAACCCTCCCCCCCCCTTCCCATCTTCCAAAGTGGACAGTAAGGCACAGAAACAGGTTGAAGGTCTATTTCACACATGTTTAAGTAAAAGAAACGTGCATGGAAAGCTGAGAGCTTACTATATTTTAAGTGGAGCAGGAGATTATACTTTAGTAAAAGAAACATGCATGGAAAGCTGAGAGCTTACTATATTTTAAGTGGAGCAGGAGCATATATATATGCACACACACACAAACCATCAGTACCCTGGCAGGAAGATAAATATCCTGATGAAATAACAAGGAAAAGAAACTGTGACTTTTATCAAAGGTGATGATATAAGCAGGGCACTCTTAAGCATCTTTATAGTTCTGTGTGACTTCAACATTTTGTGTGACAGAAGAGAAAGAATGGCTTAGTGCAAAGAACTATTTTAAATATTCCCGGTCAGGAAAGCTAGCAATGGCTGGGGGTTCGTCGTGCTGACCACAAGTCACCCTATATCTGGTTGGATGATCGTTCACCTCTGCTTAGGCATGTGAACGTGAGGCCAGCAATCAAGCTAGTCGGCTTTGGCTCTCTGGAGCTGTTATGCCACAGATTTAATTTTAATTTTTTATTTTAAATATTCAAAATTTCTAGAAAATTTCAAAACCCACCCATTAAAATGTATGATTTAATTAGAAACAAATCTGTAATAATCGACACAGCCTTCAAAACACATCAGATAAACAGGGTGCTGTTTGTTTTAATGTATAGAAGTTTAAATAATATACTGAGACATACATGTCCCTTTTGGCCAACAACAAAACATTCCATGGAATACACATGTCCCTTCCAGCCTTTAAGAGTTAATGTTCTAGTTAATTTGTCACAAATATTTTAATTCCATACCAAACCAATTACTGCCGGAACATTCTTTGCAGACTGAAACATGAAATTAAACATATAATGCAGAAACATTATCCAAAGGAATTAATACAATACCAATCTGTCTCCATTTGGTAAAAGATGGATCAACTATACATGTAGAGAATATCTGACAAACACACTTCTTTTTTTACCTTGTTATGTGTATGTTTCTGTATATAAATTTACAACTGCATTAGATTTTAACTACTGAAATTCAGAAGCTTGCACAAACATGGCCGAGATTTAACAGTAATCAAATCTACCAATCTCTTCTCACAATCAATTAATATTCTGCAGAGGGAATGCTGAATCTGGAGTAAAGGGCTTCACGGAACCTGCAATATTTTACCACCTGAAACTGCATTCAATTTGCATGGTTCTCCTGTAAATGCTTTCCTTATGTAGAATAGGGAGGAGAAATACAAGATTAAAATTGCTTATCAAAGTTGATGCAGACCTCATAAATTATCATTAGCAGTGGTTTTATAGAGTTAATTTCAACTGGCATTTATCTACAGATACAGACCCAGACTAAGATATAAAAGTCTTGTAGCTAGAACTCAGATCTACCACCTCCAAGACCATGGTTGTATTCTGAGTCCACTACCAGATATATAGCATAATTTTTAAGATCCTCCCATGTCTGAAATACCAGTAAGAGTACTTACCGCCTTTCCTGGTTTTGAAGATTGTGATAAATTTCTTGGACCCTCTATCTACTGTGTTGCTGTAAACCTCTTTTCCAAAGCCATCTTTGATTGCTTCATGGATCTTACGTCTATCATCTTTACTTTTTTCTGTCACCTGACAAAAGAATGGCAAGTATATATTTATCAGCACAGTACATGACACCTTCAATAATGATCACATTTAAATCATAATTAAATGTTAGCAATTATGAGAGAAAAGCTTTCATTACCTCAATTTCAACATAACCCATCTTTGTTTCTACCATTGTCTTAAGCTTTTCCATTATTTCTGGCGTCAGAATTTCAATAACTTCATTTTCCGGTCTCTTATGTTCTGTGGATTAAAAGAAGGCACTCAACATGGGCAGTTTGCTGAACAATATGAAATATAAACACAAACTTATTACGTAAGTGAATTAAATTAAACATAACCTAAAAAATTAACTTATTAGTAAAGAGAGAATTTCAATTATCAGAACTAATGACAAAGTACATTCAAGTATGTCTCTGAATGGTGATAATACATTTGATGACAAAGTACATTCAAGTATGTCTCTAAATGGTAATAATACATTTTCAATTTCTTAACTGGAGGATCCCTACTGAAGTCTTCATATTTTTAGTGCAGAGTAAACTGTAATTTCAAACCATTATGCCACTTACACATATTATTACAAGATCACAAACACATTTCTTTTGATTTCCGTCTTCTGGGTTGTTGCGCTGTGTAATGTCATTCTGCAGAATTTCTAGCTAGCAAACTGCATCATGAAGTAAAAGTAAGGAAACTGAACAGTTCTCAACCAAGAATTTACAAAAGTTATAATCAACTTTTCAGCCAATCGAATCTGGACTGAGCAAAAATATTTGGAACCCACACACAGAAAATCCATGTTTCAATGTAACTCACTTGAAATACCTGAAGCCAAATGTAGTGAATGGCTACACTGCATGCATCTGAATGAACAAAAATGGCATATCACATGTGTCCTTTCCAGTTACTCACCAACATCTACAGGTGGTGCCAAATCAGTCAGCTTTGCTATACTTCCATCAGCAGTAATTTCATTCACGTGAAAATCTGAAAATCTCTGCTTAATAATGCCACTGAAACCTTCATGTGCACTAATATACTCAGTAATACCAACATCTTTTTCCATTAATCTGGACTTCGTTGAGCTTGGAGTTAATGAGTTCTTTGGCCTCTTAGGTTGCTGTTTCTTGGAGGCACCACGCCAATGTGGCATACCTCCCCTCATCATTCTAATATTAGGAGTCAATGGAAGCCGAGCTGGAAACCTGTTGATTCCTCTGGGGAAACTGAAGTTTGGTGGGGGGAAAACAAAGTTTCCTGGCGGAAAGAAATTTAGAGGTGGAGGTCTAATATTTCCCCTCTGTTTAAAGTTTGAAAACTGTCGACCTCCACGAAAAGACCTTCCACCGCGTTGATTCCGAAAACCACGATTCATTTCTCTTGTCATTTCAGTAATCCACTCTGAAAATAATGAAAATGAGATGAGAATTTGTAGATTGAAAATAAGTTCTAAGAACATCCTAAATACAAAATCTTTAATTCAGTCCGGATAATAAGCTAATAATTATATTATTTATATGTATTGTAAAAATCAACAGATTTTCATCTATTTAGAATATAAAATAAGCAAACAAACAAACTATTAACACTATAAAAAAACACTAGTGCCACACGTGTTTCAACCTGAATGAATTAATTTCCCTGTTGCCACTGATGATGACCTATTGAGGTTGAAACGCGTATGACACTAGTGTCTTTTTTATAGTGTTAATAGTTTGTTTGTTTGCTTATTTTATATTCTAATACACTACATGGTATGCAAAGTTTCATCTATTTGCTTCTTTTTAGTCAGGAAATACAGTTTAAACAAGGACCATAGTTTTTATTACTTGATACTCTATAGGAAGTTTTAGCCATGGTCATTGAATGTTTCATTATCACTGCCTTATTTGTTTCATGTATTTATATTCTATTAATAGGACTACAGCAACAATCACATGTAACACTGAGAAGCTAAACCGACCTTATTAAAAGTGGTGGTTTGACGGGAGTAAAAAGTAAAGTTTGTCCCGCTATGTGCCATGTAGGCGCTTGGGGTGAGTGGAGGTATAGCTCCTCTCTTTCTTGACCTCGGCACTAATGGGGGCGAGTGGTCAGCATCACGCCCTGGTACACATTGTAGAGGAGGCTGGGTGGGCCCCAGAGCCGGTCTGGACGCAGAGGCTAGAGGAAAAAATCCTCTGCCCCCGTCAGGGATCAAACCCCTGTCGACCAGCCCATAGCTAGTCACTATACTGACTGAGCTATTCTGGCTCATTGGTTTGACGGGAGTATTTAATATTTTATGACACAAAAAACATGAGGCTAGAAGTTCAGATGCTGTATGAACTGCAATGATAAGGGATTCTGTATTTGCGGGGCGATGGGGGGAGAGGACTAGAAACATACTTCAAAAAATTATTTTTATAGAAATCATTAAAAAATAGTCACTTAGCAATTAAAATGTTCAACCAACTCTCAGAGAACTTGTGTTCATATGAGGCAAACAAATCCAGTTCACAACCAATGTTTTTGAGATCCACAACAAAAATAGTCACTTTGCTGGAATTCTGACCATTTCTGAGTTGTACTGAATGTCCTTTTTTTAATGGCACAGCTTATGTATATACCGAATGCAATCACCATTCCAACTGATGACTGCATCCCAATACTTCGGTAAATCTTGCATACCTGTCAACATGCCCTTACTTTTGTAATGTAATGGCCTAGGTCATTAAACAAGCATCTGTTCAATATTTCCAAAATCTATTTTGTGATTCTTCCAACATTTGAAACAGATCTTGTTAGCTCTTTCTATTCATTCCTATCCATAAGATGGGCTACAGAGCATAGCTCTTGGGGTACAATTGCAATGCTAACTGCAAGCATGTGAAGTCTTTTGGTGCAAACTTTCAGAAACGAAGAACATTTCAGAAAATTTCTGAAGCAAGCTGACTGTTGTCCTTGCAGGCACTATCAGTTACTATCAGTCCATCCAAGTCACATGCCATAATTATCATCTTCATTCTTGTCTGTTGTCAGCAGCATTTTTTCAGATGTTGGATGATTCTACTACCTAGACTGTGTCTTCAACTATGATGCACGATCCTGTTTTCATGTTTCATCAACAATGGTGATCCTCATAAAGAAGTTTCCCCTTTCATCCTCAAAATAATTTGGCCAATGCTCTGCAAACACCTTTGAGTTTGTTTAATGGTCAAGAGTCAGTTGATAAAGATTGTACATTACAAAAACTTTTCTTTTCAGTAGTATTTCAGCCAGAAGGCTGGAAAGAGAGGTTGATGAAATGTTTGCTTCATGAACAACTTTCTTTGCATGTCACATAACACTCTTCTTCCACAAAGCCTCATGCTCCTTAGTTCCTTTGCAATTCTTATGTGGCCAGCACAATGAATCATCTCTATAAACTTCTTGTTGTCCATTGCAAATTTAGTATGGGTTCTTACCAAACAGAGTTTGAATTTCAATGTACCAATGCCAACAGCTATAAGAGACATTTTTAACCTCTACTTCCAAACCCAATTACATGGTAATAATACAAAAAAATAGAAACAAACACACAGATGCTTCAACTTGGAAGTTTGGCTCAGAGACTTCATTACCCTTCTGCCTGCATATACGTATTGTGCACTGCTTTAAAATGACCCTTATACAATACCCATATTTAACTGGAGGACTGATGGAAATAGGGCCCACCCAGCCTCCTATCCAATAGGTACCAGGGTCCTTTCCCAGTGTGTAAAGTTCGGCAGGGGCATGACACGAACCACTTACTCCTAAGAATGATTAGGAGCTATACCTCCTCTCTTCCAAGTGCTTACATAATATATATATATATATATAGTGCGGCAGCTTTTACTGAGAGAAACAACAAAAAATAATAAAATCAGCCAGTGAAGTAATAATAACAATTTTGAATTTTCTAAAAATAAAATAATCCCATGTTTCCCATTTATAGTAAATAATGAAAAGTACCTTAACTTTTGTGCTATCAGAATGTGTCACTGAATTAAAGTTTGTTGTATTAATAACCCCCAAACTATACAATTTTCATGCTGACTCCACTGTGGGATTTACTGATACTTGGTTTATTTTATGGCAATGTTCCAACTTTATTAATTAAGTAATTTTAAGTGGTAGGACAATTTGTGTATGATGAACTGGATGGCATACTGAATAAAGTGGTTTAGCTGCATTTTAAGATGTTATCCTAGCATTTGCTTAAATGGACTAAGGAAAACAACAAAAATTTCACTCAGCATAGCTGCTCTCTGGGCCAAAAGTCAAACCCATGACATCATAAATACAAGAGTGGTCACTACTCAACCACAACATTCAGTGCTGTGGGATTTGTCTTCCAACACATGTATCATTAGACCCTGTAAAAACAATTTTTGTTTTGGAGACTTCTTATGTTCAGATGAACACAGACTGAAAGAAGAACGAATTTCATTTTCAGTGCTCAAAGTTTCTATATTTATATAATTCAAAACAAATATACACTATGAAGCATAAAAACTCCCAGTTTCCACAATCTATTTCTATTATTTTCCAACATCATCTCAAGTGTTTATTGCCTATTAATAAAGTTGTCAACCATAAATCCCCTTAGAAGCAAACTTATTCTTTTGTTTAATGAACACACCATGATGGTATAATGAGGCCCAAAAATTAAATCTCATGAGATTCTTAATCTCTGGATCTGAATGAACTGAGGGGGATGGACAACTCTGTGTTTCAGATGCCTGCACTGTGCAGGAAACTTTCCCTGCTGCCCATCACCAAGGCTAGAAGGGCTCAATAGTCATCCTATGCATGACAGTGGAAACAAAAATCACCAAATCTGCACAAAAGAGTAAGAAAAGGTCTATCTGGTGAATCAAATAGAATTTCTGATTTCACTACAATATAGAATGGACATGCACTATCAGAGAACTTTGGGCAACATGCCTGGCATATTTAAATTCTTATGTTCATGAGAAACTGAGAGACATTGCATTTACTCTACCCACAAACTTCTATCATATGTGAAACTGCTTTACATATGCATAAACAACACAGAAAGTAACGTGTGTGTGTGTGTACACAGTCTTTACATGTGACCCTACATAAAATATTTGGTTGCAGATCCAAAACATCAATTGTACAGTAAACGAATTCTGTACATAAAATATGTATTCAACAATTTTTAAAAAGAGAATTTTATATTCGACTATGCAACGCCTAATATAATTGTACGATAATTCTGAACATTAAATTTAATAAAGTTAGTATGGCAATACTATAGTTAAGCATACACCACATTCAAGTTCAATAATCTGTGATTCGTGAAACTGGAAAAGAAAGTTGTGTTTCAGCAGCAAATCATCCCGGTGTACTTGCCAGATACCAATCCTAGGACGTTACATTACACCACGTAGAATTTGCAATGTTAAATATAGGAATCTGGCAGTGGGATATAATACACTTGTCAGGCATTTAAATCATTCAATATCCTCTTACATTCCAGAGTATAAAATTCACATTAACATCAACATAATAAAAATCGAAGGTCTGGCATGTCTGTTTATAATCTAACCTAACAATCATAAATATCATAGTTAGCATTCATAAACACATTACTATCTATTGTTAAAGAAAGTCATGAATGATATTACTTGATATCATTAAATTCTTACACTAATATTATAATCCTTGCAGTTTTACTATCATACAAATCAAAGTAACACATGCGTTCATACGTACATCTCCACCGCCAACTCCATTCCACAACTTCACAATGTCACCAACTTAATCCGGTTCTACAAAACATTATGATCTATAAATACAAATATAAACACAAATTATTTATTATTGATGAGTAGTTTAAATTAATTGAGTTCGTACGATACTCTAAATAATTAGTGGAATTTGCACAAACACATTAACTCTATACAATAATATACTGCATAACATTTGAGACGTGTTGGCAACGGCTTTGCTCTGTCTCTCAAAGTTTGAGAGAATCGATTTCATTCCTATCGAGTTCATGAAAGGGTTGCAGTATCATCGAGTAAAATAAAAGGTTTACAACATGCAATATGAGCGAGTATTGCTATTAATTCTGGCCATGTTAAAGGGTCTCTTGTAAACAATGGATGGTGATTCCTCTGACTGCAGATGTAGGATGCCTCCAGATATGGATGGTAGCTGCGAATGTATGGAATAAAAAGTCGGGGATAGCCGACAATGGGTGGTCATTCTGATTAAATGTGTTGCGAACCTTTCTCTCTGCACAACAGATTTTAACTGTTCTCCATGCAAGTGCAGGCTGTACTTGCCAACTGAAGCCTTTGAACAATTAAACCTCTAAGAATATTAAATAGTGTCATCAAAAACATGTGTGTTCATATCGATGTTTTTTCCTCTGTGCTGTCTATGTTTAAATATCAAATGCACAAGCTTAGAATGTTTGAGTACAATTTTAAAAAATAACATATATAGCTATTTTATATACTTTTAGAAAGAGTTGAATCCAACAATTTTTAACTTATATGTATTTATAATTATTGATCTTTACATATTTCGCACATACATGTGAAAGAATCACATTACTACAACATTTAATGATTCACGAAAGAAAACTACAATAAAGTATCATGTGTTTCTACCAGAATCAAGACAGAAGTTCCTACAAACACTTGGTCACAGCTGATTTTTTAGTGTGGACAGAAAGTATTGACAAAAAATGAAACAGTTTGTCACATTGCCAATATTACATCTTCCAGTAGTCAATGTAATTATTCTATTAGAAATTAAAAATGTTATAAAGTATATGCTTCTGTGCTGACTTGTCGGCTCAACACAATACTAGAAAGCATCCTCTCTGAAGTCCAAAGCAGTTTTACGTAGGGTAAATCCTGCTTAGACTGTATTTTCACAAAAACTCAACTTGTCGATAAACGAAGAAAATTTTATACATATTTAGCTTTCATTGATTTTAAAAAAGCCTTCAATAAGGTTAACAGAAACAAACTCTAGGAAACTATGATGCAAAAAGGTATACCACAACACCTTATCAAAGTTAGTCTATTTGCCAATAAAATGTCCAAGAGTGGCAAACGAAATGAAGTTCCCATTTTATAATAAACGCTTCCATAACCAATAATTTACTATTTGCTGACAATCAGGATTTACAAAGTACTGCTTATAAATATAAACTTCAAAAACAAAAGTAATATCTTTTAGGGGTGCCGCCCCAATCCAAACTAAAATTATTATTGATAATGAAACCATAAAACAAGTTACTAATATCTTTTAGGGGTGCCACCCCAATCCAAACTAAAATTATTATTGATAATGAAACCATAAAACAAGTTACTGACTTTAAGTGCCTGGGCCATATTTCATACAATAAAGTCAATGACACCATCAACAAAATAAATAAAAAAGTTCAACTACATGTGTGGAATAATAAAATATGTCTTCAAACAAGTAAAGAAATATGCCTAAAATTGTATAAGATAATGGTACTTCCTGCACTAATTGGACTCTAACAAAGACACAAATGAAACAATTTTAAGCAACGGAAATGAAATGTCTACGACATGCAGCGGGCTATACACTTCTGGACCGGAAGTGAGGAGATAAGACAGAATTGAAGTCTTTAAATTAACCAGCAAAATAAACCAATACAGAAATGATTGGTTAGAACATTTGTGCAGAATGGACTACTGCCATATTCCTAAACATCTACAACGTTATCAACTAACCAGGAGTGTAGGATGCCCAAGGAAACGCTGGAAGGACCAATTGTAGTTGTGTATATGATTACATGAGATAGGAACAAACCAATTAGGTTTAACCGTTGTTGCACCTGCACATAGTAACAGGACAATTTTCTTCATGATTTAATTTTCATCACTCCTTTGTGTACAAAATGAATTTCTGTATCTTCCATAATTTAAATATGTATGTAATATCAGGAATGAAAAACACTACTCATCTTGTACAGCTAAGTGCCTGACACTGAAAAAAACTATTTTCTTTGTCTTCTAATGTGATAAAATCATATTTGAATATTGCATCATGCATTTATTTAGCTATAAATAAGAAATCTCACAAGTTTTAAATTTTAATATTAACTTTTCTTTTCGCACCGAAACCAAACATTGTGTGTACAAATTCCATCTGCATATTTTAGATGGATGTACAACAGGGTTGTTCCTAAATTATAAGCATTAATTCAAATTTACATGGTACCCTCTAATTTGTATGAAATCATAAAGTATTATTGGCAAATATGAGTTAAAGTAAATAGAGTCAGGAGGTTGCACAAACCAACAAAACTTCTGTGAACTACTGCTGCTGTTACAAAGTTCTTAGAACATTGCAATAGACACTGGAAATGACTTTCCTAGTAATTACTGTGATTTCTGCAATGTTTTGCATCACAGAATGTTATGCAGACAATTCTAGAAATGTGTAGAATATTCTCAATTACTGCAACAGAACAAAATGAAGCTATCATAAAAACATTACAAGGCTGGGCCATTCAAGAGAGTCAGATCAGAAGTTTTTTATACAACTTCTAATACTAGTCAATGGGCATGTATTGCTCTTTAATTGAAATTCCACATTGCATGTCAGCATCGTGTATATGAAGTAATTCTACGAGACATCTTGAATCACTGACACAGATCACCGAGTGGCCCAGAAATTGGTCTTTTGATATGATTTCATCACAACTGGTTCAGCATTGACATAAAAAGGTACACTGCCATGAGTGGCCAGATATGCTCTGAAACACTGGAAACTCACAGCACACTCACGACACCTTGCTAAGAAGGGGGTTTTGTCTAGTCAACAGTCTACAGAAGACTAACACAAACTGCCCAAGCTTAAGACAATTTCTCTTGACGATTTACCACCACATGGTATTGAACTCATAGCTCCTGCAGTAATGCACCAGGCTAAGTAGATGGACAAGTTTCTTCACTGCATTAAGTATGACTGTTTAGAAGTCAATTTATACTAACCACAAGAGAGGACAGATTACTTAGAGATTTCAATGTTTGCCCCTTTGCTGTATAATAAGAGTCTGGATTTAAAATCCTAATCCAACTGCTGCTTTGGCAAATTATCCAAGTTTTGTTAAGTCTCTTTTGAAACACAGCATCATAAATTAATTTTACAAGATGCTACATTGGCTTTCTGCAGGCATTTATGATAATTAAATTAAGAATTAGAGGTCCTACCATTCTTTTTATGATAACAGTGGAATAAAAAATAATGTGGTAGAAGCTCTAGGAAAACAAGGAGTTAACAAGCAACACCAATGAGTAAAATTGGACTCAAGAGATATTCAGAAAATCTAGAATATTTTAATGTTCTCTGATGTTCTAGAGATGTTTTACAATTTCCTTACATCCATTGACCCAAAGCATTAGAAACAATGACTTTCAACATGCAAAGCAACATAAAGAAAACATGAAGGCAATAAATAATTCAGCTGAGGGAGTAGTGGTTGTACAAGATTTCAGTTGTTTCATTCCCAAAAAATGAAGAAAATTAAGAACTAATTCAAGTTGTCTCAGAGCACCAGAAGAAATTTCCTGATGCTAAAATATGTTTATCACTTCAATGAAGACCGAAGACTACATTACATATGCCAACATGTGGAACAATTTCTGATGATCCATTATTTGTATATACTTCACTTTTTGTACAAATAATGAATCAGTACATTTCAGAAGAATGTTGTTCAATGAAAGCAAAATTTAAAATGCAATGTTACTTTGCAGATTATAAAAAGACTATAGAGTACCATGAAGGAAAATCAAAATATGGATCATCAGGACTACCTTAAATTACACAATTATGGCAATCCATGTGATAAAGATAAAATATCAAAACCTTAATTTTCACTATCAACTGCACTACTCACGCCAGTGATGACCACACTGGTGATTACAACATTTATAAAAAATTGTCATTGGTTCATCAGCTGAACGTGTTTGAATCTGCATAAAGTAAGCTCTTGGGTAGAAACATTTGGGGCACCTTTCTTCAGTGGAATCAACATTGTCCCAAGCAGCAGCACCACCTAACACATCATCAACCTCCTTCAGTCTTGGATAAACCCGTGTGCTCATACGACGAGAAATATTATACACATAAGGACAGGTGCTGCAAGCAAACCTCAAACAGTTAGGGCCTTCTTCAACGCCAAGAACATTGGCACAAGTTGGACAGAACATCAACATTATGAAAGATAAAACAAAATAAAACCTGCAATAAATGTCACTTACTGAAACTGCAGAAATGCTCAATACTGTTCTATGAACTTCAAAGAAATGTAAATATTAAAACCTTAAAATACTGTCCTTAAAATTATCATAAAATGTATTACTTCTGTTTACAAGCCTTAAAATTATCATAAAATGTATTACTTCTATTTACATGCCCTGTCTCCAGAATTCCATATTACATAGCATCTGAGTATTTAAGAAGACATGATATTAATGTTAATAAAAGTACATTTCAAAACAAATGCATATAATGATATGTAATTACTAATTCAATCTGTAAGAAATAAATACATAGAATTATTGAACAAGTCTCCCAGGTAAGGAAATGCAGTATATTTATAAAATGGAACACAGAAGTCAAATATCGAGCACCACAAACATTTAACTATTCAGTCATTGTGATAGAACTTTGAATTCAGCGAAGCAAATATTCGCCTTTTATCTGAAAACGGGATAATACCATCACGACCGTGGTATCTTCTTTCAATGACTTTGTCAAAGAAGCGACTTAATTTAACGGCTGAACTTGATCCAGCTGCCAATGAACGGACTTGTCGGCAATCCTACAAGAAAAAACAAAATGTTTGCTTCTTAAACATAAATTAACTGTTCTTTATGTATCTACGAAAAAAATTAATAATTATAAGCAATAGACATGATGGAATGTGACAAAAATACAGGTCTTGCTCAATACTTCATACTAGGGTTTCACAATACAGCAAAGAATTATACAAGACATAGATCTGGCTTGGACCCCAAAAATGATTTGGTACTTCTGAAAGGAATAACATAATCCTATGATAGGGCCACAATTATATCAGGATATCATAATTATTCTTTGCCAGTAAAATAAACTGAACATATTTCATTCCCAGAAAGAATAACGTTAATCCAGGTTGTACTTCCAATTAGATTATAGGGTATGAAGAAAGTGTTACTACATCCACAGTGAAAGTAAAAAATACAACACTGGAAGAATGCAGTCCATACCAATGTACACAGCATCCACATGCATTCATTCTTGCTTCTACCCCAGGGTTTGCCCCAATGGGGATATTTCTGCCTGCTGTACTATCCAGTATAATAAATACATGACAGGTGTAGATATGGCAGATCAATGGCTCACTTCTTCCTCAGTTCTGAGAAAAACTGTAAAGTGTTTAACATGGTGCTGTATCTTGAAAACTGTGCACTGTTCAATGCATTCTTATCTACAAAAGGTTTGACACAAAACAAACAATAAGGTTTAGGAAATTCCTGTATGAGATAGCAAAGTCTTGGATATCAAAAACAAACAACTCAGCTGAGTTCAGTTCTGACAAATTTCAGACTGCAGAGAAACAACCTATTCTGGTAAACATAGGCCAAACAAAAAACAACTGTTGCTACACAGGGAAAGAAATATCCTGCAAGACAGTGTAACGTTTGTGTTGCTAAAACAAGTGCACTCAGTGAAGCAAGACACAGTATGTTGTAATCAGGGGTTCTCAACCCACTGCCCACAGATATGCTTTGTACAGCCCACACACAATTCTTGTAATAGTGTGTTACCGTGCTTGACAAGAAATTGTTACATGATGTAAGAAAACATGTCTTGTTAATATCATGAGTATTTTGCAGTAACTATCACTGTGAGTATCTGTTCAGCTTAATGAAGAATGTAAAATCAAGAATTACGACATATTTTATTGATGAACACTTGGAGGATGCATGCGAACCACAGTACCACAAATTAAATTTGATGCTGAAACATTTCTCAAGTAAAAGCAGCATCAAATATCTCACTGATGATTGATTTTGTTAGTCAAAATCATTGAGTAATGTGAACCTGTGTGTAATAGTAAGTTAGAAGTATTGTTAATAAACTGGTACAAAGTTTCAATAAATTATGTTCAATTATAACCTAACAGCACACAAGTCGATAAGCAGGGGTGAATGCAGCCCTAGGTCTGGAAAAGGCTGAGGACCCCTGCTGTAAATTCTGTGTTGCTCCACTTTGTATTCTTGTTCTGAGATGTACCACTCAGTGATACAAACAGTATTGTTAGTGCTAGGCTAAGAAGCTTCACATATAACTTCGAAAAATAAGCAAAATCTACTTGACAGAACATTTAAATGCTTGTAAAATGTCCAGGAACTATTTAATAAGAGGGACACATTAGTCAGCAATGTGTCAAATCAAATGTGTCTGAAATTAAAAAATCTTTGTGCCCCTTGAGATTCCATTACTATAAGCAGGTTTTACTATAATTAATTAGTGTATCAGAATAATAGATAAACCTAAAAGAAGTAGAAAAGTCAGGTGCTTTACCAGAAAAATTTCATCTGCACTGCACTCTTCAGCAATTGTAGATGATCTTCGATGAGAATGTGTCCTTACTTCTTCTGACAGGTCAAGCTTTGTCCCAATAACAAGAATTGGAATCTGAACACACAAATAAGTTGCAAGTTTTCTGTTCATACACTCATAGACACACAAACTTTGAAATCATTAACATTTCACAGTCTGAAACAAAATCAAAATTATTATTAATTACGCTATTGTATCCATCAATCCAATGGCACTACAGTCCAAGTTTGGGCCTTGGCCTCCTCCCATGTGGGAGGTTTCTTTGCCTTTGAAATGTGCATTTACGAGTAGTGAGTGACAAGCCCACTGCCTCTGCACAATTTCTACTCAGTTCTAATTTGTCTGCTAGAGTCATCTAGTAGAGAATCAGGAGAAACATGGGTGAGAAATGGCTGCTGAAGTTTGCTTATGAAACATCTTGTTCATGCACGTAAGGTTCTTTAACATGACGTACATCTACAACATGGGAAAATCGGCTTTACTCCCCCTATGAAGAAGTTGTGCTACGAAATTTTATCAGCCTTAAAATCCATCAACCTTGGCCGGGATTCAGCCTGCAAACCTTGGGTCCAGTGGCAAGCACACTAACCACTAGTCCACCCAGGGCTACTATGCTATTGTATAGCGCACTATTATCAATCACATGCTTTAGCAACAGACTGTGAATGTGTGGCAGGTCTTTATATTGATTATTCTACAGTTTGTAACACACATAAAATTAATCACAAGGAAAAATTTTAACTTCAAAACTTGAGAGCATTACTTATGATTTCAAAAATACCCATCCATTTTTGACTCATACACACATATGTTCACATTTAAAAAGAGGAGGCACACAGAAGAATTCAAAATGAATAACACACAGACACATAATGGTTGCAAATAATAACCTTGCTGAGTATCCAGATAGTAAGCAAACAACTGTGTCTATACATGTGGTAAGAATGTTTATTTATGAAATATTTCCACATCTGCATACATGTAAAATGCTTCCTGCAAAGTTGTATCATGTCCACGAAGAACATGACATTCATATTACCTGTGTCAATCCCACAAATTGTTCAGGATCAAAGTCATCAAAATTTGTCTGTCGTGATTTTGAACTTCCGTCCTTATTGATGACTTCAGCTAGCCACTTCTGCAGATTCTGCTGAGACTTCCGATTTGTAAGATCATGGACTAAAATGATACCTGCAAAGTAAGAGAATCATTCATGAAGAACAAGGAAGATCCACATGTTTTGAAATTTCAGTCCTTTCTTGGTAAAATGACAAGCACATCAGCACTGACAGGGCCATCATTCTAGGAGGAAGAAAAAGCATGACTGCTTAACATGCTTACAGGTCATTTCACACATCAAATCACTTGAGCTCACAACTAGATCCCTCTGGATTTTAATTCAATTTGGTTTTTGTAGACCCTCTGGAAGAATGTGAAAATGACAAACTGTAGCCCTCTATGCTTTGTAATTTTCTTCAGGAACTCAAAATGACAAAGAAATAGAATTTTTGGCATAACACAAAGCAAAAATTGCCGTAACTCTGCACCTAATTAGCCAGTCAAGTAGGTATGACATGCTAATATGTAAGGTACTAGCTGTACTGTATCAGGTTATGACGCACTGCTGCATCCTGCCTTATGTGCATCACCGCAGATATAGCATGCTGACACATTATGCACAAACTCCATTTTAGTGGGTATGATGTCTATGCACATGTTGCAAGTGTCTAGCTTCCATGATAAATTAGTAAATACTTTCAAACAAGAAGCTTTATACAGATTTCATGTGACCACCATATTGTAATTTTATATTGTACAAAAAATTATTTGAACAAAAGCTGCATACTCTTTGAAGATCCATCACAACATAAAATGTCTGATTTAACAAGAAATGACAGTAGTGTAGCTCCAAACTCAAGTTTAAAGTTGCCATGTTGGTGTTACTGAAATGACAGGGATTTATAAAATACAAGAGTGGAGTGGCCTCTAATGGAATGATATTTATATTAAGTTTCATGATAATTCATCTTCTACTTAAACACATATTGCAGGGGAAGTCAGATACAAATCTATCTCATCATCATAAGGAGTTAGGCCACTTGTTGACCTGTTCCACCCCATCGTCCCCTACATAATTAAAAAATTAACCTTATTATGAAATGTTTTACCTTTCACCCTCTCTGGAAAGAGAACCTGTTTGCGACATATGTTCATACCTGGGACTGTAAGCATCAGTGGTCAAAAACATGTAAGTTATGTAACTAAAAATAGCACAAAATTCTTGTAATCTGTTGAATATATGGTATCTTCACAATGTTGTGACCAGCTGAGTTAAGTAATTTGCAATAATTTCTTAGGTTATTTGATGATGTTATTTTAATTGTTGATTTTACATATATCAAGATATGAAGATAAACACATCTACCAGGAAAGACTGAAGAAAATCACAGAGTATGAAAGTGAAGATAGCTGGTAATGCAGCAAAATTCACATTCTGTATACTGAAAACACAATTATAAAGGGTTACTTACATATCAGTGTCATTGATAGTTTGTGTTTGGATTAAAATAAAGTGCAAAGTCAATGACCGAATACGTGGTGACCATATTACAGTTATTCCTCATAAGGCTCCACTCCATAAAATTCATGATACCTAAGGATATGTACTGATTATAATCCTATACAAACATCTCACCATGAGTTGGATTGTAGAAAACAGAACGAGTATTCCTGTGACTGCTGCTTCCACCAATGTCCCAGAGTTCAACAAAATATGTCTTCTGATCAGGTGTTCCTTCCTTGTATTCATGAAGTTTCACTTCCACTGAACATCCAACTGTCCAAGACGGATTGCTAATAGGTTGCTGATGACATATCAAATAAGTAAGTGATGATTTACCAACACCTAATGTTAAAAAACAGTAATAAAGAAGTAGAACACGAAAAGTAAACATGAAATACATAAGGACTATAAACAAACTATACACATCAGACCTCGAAATGAACAGGGAGGCCCATCCTTAATTCCACAAACTCCTCCGCATGTAACTATAACATTTGACCTTTATTACATAATGAACAAGGTACCCCAAATATTACACAAAGGCACAGAGGCATACAGATTATTTGCACCATTCAATAGAAGCAGTGAAAAATAGTATAGACTTCAGGTCGTTATTAGAGACACAGTTTGCAAGAACATTCTTCACTACAATAAAAAAGATTATCATTTAACTTTATGAAAACTGGTTGTTAATTTAAATTATATGATCATTGTGTTGAGGCATGTATAATTTACTATCATCTATTATAAGGAAATCTTAATTGTTTATACATTTAAACATATATTTTCATAACTCCAGTGAAAAGTCCACACTGTTTAAATTTTTATCTAATAATAGTCTTCTGTTGGTATTAGGTAAGTTTCAGCTTCTAAAAATATAATTCAATTCTGAAGGGTTTTGACGACGGTAGTTTACACTTAAAATTATTCGTTGTCAGGACTTTTTCCATCGTCTCCCCTTTAAAATCATGACGTTTTGGAGGCTGGTTCTGTCTCCGTCTTCAGGTGCTCCTCCTGTACTTGTGTAGAGGGTCACTTTCCAGACATCCGGATTTCCATACTCTTTTATTTAATCGTTACTTTGGGGGACCTCATATCTTGCATCTTGAGCTTCTTTGGCAGTTTGCTTGCTCTCTTTATCACTCAAGTCCAGTCCCTTACTGTCAGTGTGGAAAGTTGTGGGTTATGTATATCAATTGTTCAGAGTTGCAGGCACTCTGGCTATCCCTGTCATCAATATTTTATTTAATTTGTCCACTTTTGTATTCACTGTGTACACTCTGTATTAGACTGTGAATGAAGAACACTACCTGAATCATACAAAATTTGTGAATTTATTACAAATGTATGCAACAAAGTGGTCAAAGCAGTGCCAAGCTTCTCTCTTCTAGACTCGTATAAATAAAAGTCAGCTACACCTTACTGTTTTTGTAAACCGAAAATTATATTCTGTGAATATACATATAACAATACTTAAAAAAGTAAAGTTATTTTAACCTAATTATACACAGAAGCAGACACTTGAAATACATCTTGTAATAAGTCTATGCCATGTGTTGTGCCATAGCTCAAGCAGATAGTCACCAACTTTTCACCACAGTACCACAGAGGTCCACATTTTTGGGGTAGGTTTCTCTCAGAATCGTCTGAATTTGCCATCAATAGTATTCCAACACTGTCCTACATTCATTCATGTGTATGAGGGATTCACAGTGGGCTCGTTTGCATCCCATTTCTACAGAGACAATCTCAGCTCATTGCAATAAAAAATACAGAATATTTTTATACTACTTACAAGATCGATATCTGCCTACAGCAAACAAAATAATTGTAAAATTACTTTCTTAGATTTCCCCCAGAAATGATATGCTTAAAATGTCTATTAAAATACATTAGATTCTGTTTTGTATTTTGAACTGCATTTAACCTTACATTTATCAGTAAGCTTAAACTAACAACGTATTTCTATAACACACCCGAATCTCCGACAACAATAACTTTCACTTTATCAAATCCAGCCATTAAATATGTATGCAATTACTAAATTTTCACACAAAACAAGTAATTCTTGGCATTAATTAATATACAACCACACATTAAACGAACGTGGTATTACCTACGGACCATTTATCATACCAACTGTCAAAACATTCAAAGCAAAGATTATCTGAAGCGTGTATTCCTTGGAACATGGTAGTTGGAGGGTTAACTTTAGGGACTGCAGCAGAGGAAAATAACGAGCATCAAAGAGCCATCAAAAAGCAGTTGGAATTTGAAAAGCAAAATAAGTGGAACACAAATAAAAAGAAAACCGTAATTATACTGTTCAGAAAGGGGGGGGGGAAGAACTACAGTTTTTACAGAAGTTGTCAGCTCTATTATCTTGGCATCACGTACACACAAAGAATAGGGCGACTGCAGACATTAGAGTAATGCATAACACAAATTACCCAAATCTACTCGCACTAAACACAGCAATGGAGCTCTCTTAAGGCCTGTACGCACTAGGGCACATGTTGCGATACAAGTTGAGCGACTTGTATCAGGGAACATGTCGTGTAGCCGCCTCTCAACCGATAACCGGGCACATGATTTTTGTTGCGGAAAACACTGCGACGTGCCGCGACATCTGTGCCCTAGTGCGTACAGGCCTTCAAGCGACTTTGTGCCCCAGTGCGTACAGGTCTTTACGCCGATCCTCACTTACGGCCTGGAACTAATAATGGAATACCAGAGCCTCTGTGATTTCACATTAGAAATCACCAAAACCACCTCATCCTTCAGAAAAAGAGATGAAACGTTTGCCCCATTTTCACATAAATTAATGCCACGTAAATGCCCACTATTATTATTATAAAAACAATATTAATATGCACTGGCCCTTGTAATAAACTGACGTATTTTGCTAGTGCTTCTTTCCGGTTGTGATACTGTGTACTACATGGACACTGTACTTCTGCTGCCTGTCGACCGGCACAATGGCTGTCAGCAAGAATTGTTGGGTGTGCAAGAGACCCTTCCATGGTAAACAGAAATTTATTGCATGTAGTGAAGCCTATAGCCACGGTGGTCTAGCGGTTAGAACGCTGGCCATGTAATCCTGGGGGTCTCGGGTTCGATTCCCGGCGGTGCCCGAATTTATAACTTGTGTTGGGCAAGGCCATGGTCTAGGTATCACGTAGTTTTCCTCCGTGGCATCCCAACAATTACTCCATTCACACACAGAAGAAGGCAATGGCAAACCACTTCTGGATCATCTGCCAAGAACGTATATGAACAGGTCCCAGTCCGAGAAAAGGATGGAAGGATCCTGTTCATATGGACCTGTCGTCAGACAGAACACTAAATAAATAATAGCCTGTGGTTCAATATTTCATCTTTCCTGCCTTAGAATGTGTGACACTGAACATTCGTTTCTTATGGTGGAAGGTCAGTTTACATATAAATGTGTATCATGTATTGTGGCTAATTGTGTTACTAGAGCTGAAAATAAATAAAGATGAAGCTTCAGATCTGATCCTACTTCAGCGAATCATGTAAAGGATATTTCTCAGATAGGGAACTTTTCTTTCAGACACCGATTCACTTAGCTTCCTGCTTGAGATGGTGCGGCTCAATGGAGTAGCACTTATCTTGTTCAAATGGGCAATAAAACCTCGGACAATCCTACACCACTGACTGTTGCAGAAATTGAAAACACTCCATGCAAGAAACATTACCTCTGCTTGTAATGTGTGAAAGGTTCTTAGCAAGAACTACTGCTTGAATTCGTTTATCTGATAGCCCCTAAATTAAATAAGCCATCTTCTTAGCAAGAACTACTGCTTGAATTCTTTTATCCGGTAGCCCCTAAATTAAATAAGCCATTCATAACTGACATTATCAATTTCAAAACACCGCATGTTTCCAATCAGGTAGTGTCTTATACAACACCGTCTGAAATCAAATGGTGAAATATGCATCACGCGGCACCTATCTTATTTGGCTTGTCCCGCATTAAACGAGCATAAAAGAGTTGAGTCCATTTAATGCATTTCCAACAATGCCTTAGCAACAGTCCAATCATCAGCATTCTTCAGAACAAGTAATTTGCCTTCACCTTGCCGGCTACGTCTGCATACTTTTTTGTAGAATAATTTATATTTTTCAGGGTTTATTAACCCAAATATGCTTTGACATTTTCACAAAACCCCATCAGTTTGACCGCATTATTGAACCCAAGTTCTTTGTCAGCATCATTTTGGACACACAGCGGTGGACAGGGAGGAAGAGTTAGCAAGAGTGAACTACCCTGGCCTCCTTCCAACCTGTCATCTCCACTGATGGTTGTCTTCATGCCTCACTTGCTTGTTAACTAAGGTTAACATGTCCATTACCAACCTTCAGCTGGCTCAACCGTGTAAAGTCAATGGCAGCGATTCAGCACCTCAGCCAGATCGGCCCCTCTGGGCCGCCATCCTGGAACAGTGTCTCCTTCTCGGAACTGCTATGGTACTGATGCTATTTGGAAAGGCTCTCCAGCTCTGTGGGCAGTCTCATTTTATTTGTATATATTCTACAATTTTCCTTCTTTCCTACACTTTCATTTCCAAATTTTTATCCCTTCCTACTATCATTCTACACACAGCAATCTGCTGCCCACTGGCACGTTTCTCCTAGCTTTCCCTCCCAGCTTTGGCCAGGCTGGGGTCCCTCCTCCCACTGGATCCCTTGCTCTGTTTGTTTTAACTACAACCATCTCACCCTCTCCCACTGGTCTGGCAAAGACTTTCCTTGTCTGACTTGCTCCAGCATAAGATGGAACATTCCAGAAGATGGCTATATTCACATACATCAACATGTGAATCTGAGATCTCACCCCCATAATGTTATGACTGTCATACTAAGAAAGTTATATTTCATAAAGACCAAATGAAATGGTAATGGTACCTTCAGAACAGTGCTTGTGAGAAGAGCGAGTTTAAACTGGCAAAGCATTAGCAGATGCTTGTAATTTTCTAAACAACATTCCCTTACTTAGGAAGATGACTGTTCTGTACTATGTATATGCACATACCATGTTACTCCAAACCTAGCATATACTTCTGCACACACCACATGTGCATAGGTTGATTTTCATTCAGTTTCTGATAGAAAATTATTGTACACATGACTAGATTCAGAATGCTCTCCTCAATATGCGCAGTAATGTTTCTCAGCCAATGGAAAGATTTATCAAACACATTATAGGAATGTGTACACTCCACACATGTAAGCAGTGAAAATTCTTCTGGTCACTATGATTACAGAATCATTTATTACATCCCACAGCATACTAATTATGTACACGTTGATGTACCTTCATATTACTCAGCTGACTGAATGATTTATTACACACATCACAGGAATACGGACGCTCTCCACTATGTACTCGCTCATGTGTCTTCAGATGACCCCTCCGAATGAATGATTTATTGCACACATCACAGGAAAATGGATGCTCTCCACTATGTATGCGCAGATGTGTTTTCAGATGACTTCGCTCACTGAATGATTTCCTACATATATCACAGAAATATGGCCGATCCCCACTATGTGTGCGTTGATGTCTTTTCAGGTTACTCAGTTGACTAAATGACTTTTTACAAACATTGCAGGAATATGGACGCTCCCCGCTATGTATGCGTAGATGTGTTTTCAGATGACCCCTTTCAGTGAACGATTTATTACATATATCACAGGAATATGGTCGCTCTCCACTATGTATGCGTTGATGAGTCTTTAGATGACCTCTCTCAATGAATGCTTTATTACAGACATCACAGGAAAATGGACGCTCTCCACTGTGTATACGGTGATGTGCCTTCAGATGACTCCTCTCAGTAAAAGACTTATTGCAAACATGACAGGAATATGGACACTTCTCACCATTTGTTAGTAGAAGTTCATTCAATGTGTTCTAGTAACAAAAAAGAAAAAGAATATGAAAAATCTTGATACGAAGAAGAATGGATTTAAAGTCAGTTATTACTGTATTACAAGAATTATGTTCTCTACCACATCTCATTACATGACTGGTATGTCAAGAAAAAATGCAGCAAGAATCTTAGGCCTTTATGTTTATATAACACAGTTCATTCAAAATGACATATGGAAGATATTTTGAGTCCTTGTATTGAAACGTGTCTCCTATTTGATACCTTACTCAAATCTTAAATGGTGAGTGATGGTAAGGCATTTGGCTAATTCAGCTCTACACTGCAGGATGTCAATTTGTAAATAGACTTGTTTGTTGATGGGATAGCATGATGTTATAAATTTGCTAGTTCATATAGTTCCTCGTTACTTAAGGTAAAGCTTACTTTCTTCTCAGGATCGTAATTCAACACACATCAACCAGAGTGAGAGTGAGAGATTAAGGTGTTTTGTCTCCAATATTCTGGAGTTCTAATAACTACATTAAAGGAACAGACAACTATTTTAGAACCATTTTAACCAACATGTAGTGTTGATTGTAATGTGTCTATAAACTCTAACATCTGCACCCAAACCAAAGCCAGTTAACGTCATACTTGCTACCATGAGAACCTTGAATAATATTTTAACCTTTCTTAAAATTACAATAAGTAAATGCACACAAATTACATTCTGCATATAGATATAAGAATTTGACGTCTCATATTGATTGTTCTGATAAACCACCCTCCAATCTTCGAAGTTAACTACAATGTTTTTTGTTTCACTATGATGATCAGTAAACAAAGTGAACCTACCATAACAGAACCCCAAGTTCATCTTACTGACAACATTATTCTTTTGCATTATCCCACCACCTGAAAGTATCTATTTATCTTGTTGTATCATCCTTACCAAGTCTCCCCTGATACATGAATCTCAAGCTCTTGGACAAATAAATTACAGTATAATATAGAAGTAATGGGACAGTTATACACAGCACTCGACAGTACACCAAACCATTAAACACATGCAAATGTCAATCTAAATTATGATGTGGTTACAAATGAACAGACTGCAAATATCACAACAAAAAAGACAAAAAGAAAGCGTACAGAACATGAGGCCATAACTCACGCCTTGCAAGTAAACAGGCACACCTTTTGTCAAAAATTCAATTCAAGAAAAGAGTTAAAATGTACTTCAGCGTAACAATACAAAACCTCCTTCAGTGTCATCAGGAAGGAGGAAGTCATACTCACAAACCTCTGGATTAGTCACATGTACCTGACAGGGTCATTTACAGCATGATAAGCCTATGCCTGTCTGAAAAACTGTGGTGTCCAGCTTACTGTGACACATCTTGGTGGACTGACAACATGCACAGCCAACCTTCCAAAGGCAATATATTTTATAACTAACATTCTTAATTCAGTTTTATACTGGTGTAATTTTAAACAACGCACATTAGATTATGTCTGAACAAAATACAATAACAGACAGCCCTGACTAATCACCTCCCTCTCTCTGTGGCTCTACAGTCCTTGAAGAACCTTAGCCTCCTCACATATGGGAGGTTTCTTAATCTATTTAGACATTTGGTAGGACTCTTTCGATGAGTGACAGCCAATCACAAGGCCTCTACCTATGCTGTAAAATACTGGTGTAACCATTCATGCTAAGGAACCAACTACACTCCTCTCATTCTCAAATGTAACTAAAAGAAGAAAGATAATAAATAAATGAAGAGTTAAAATGCTTCCAAAGCCATTACAGACACAGTGATTAAAATAGTCCCCTCACTGGGAATTCTGATTGCCACGTCATAAGCAAACATGCTACCAACAGGCATCTCCTTTTATCACACTCACAAAGTAACAATTAAGAAAGAGGAAAATAAAAGTTCATTAAAAAAGAAGGTGGGGTGCTAACACCGAATAATTTGACAAGGAAGTCACAAGAGGGTCCACTGCCACACTACAAAACAAGAGCCAAATAGAAGGGTTTCAACAGACTGGTTTGTCTTATAAGTATGTGGTTTAATGAGGCAGCACAGATTTAATAGTAACTATGTCCACCACAAATGTAATAACAACCAATCAACTGAAGTTGGAAACAGAGAAATTGTCATGTATTATCAAATATACTTCATGAAATGGACAATGTCTAAACATTTGTATAATCAATCATCCACTCTCACAAATCTTTACTACTCTCCTACAGTACGAATACAAACTGTACCAAAGTCACAAAAGAAATCAATGAAAATCTTAAAACATTTATACACTCTGCAAATTGTACAAGAAATTCAATGCCAGGATGCAGTAAAAGAGAGAGAGAGGAAGAGAGGTGGGCACACTATATAAGGCTTCTCTTGTTCTAATGTTCACCTGAAAGAATTTTTAATTATGTCAATATTTCACTGCATGCGTCTTTTAATTGACTTATGACAAAATGGAAGTGTTATTCCATAAACTGTTCAAAAAAATAATTAAATTGTTCAAATGTTTTGGATACTGATCTCCAAAATCTGTTCATAAAATTGGAGATGTTTGAAGTGGGCAGACAGACAGACAGAAGGACAGTGAAATAACAACAGCCAACTCTGTATACCTGTACAATGTGCCTAACTATGGGAGCAAAGACATACAACTCACCTCATTTTCTTCCTTTATTACTGGAAATGTTAACAGAGGATCCTCTGCCTGTTCTATATCTGTGACTTCCTCAACTTTTACATCATGATAAGATGTCGGTTGTGTCTCACTATATGATCCAGGCACAGCTTTCACTAAATCCACGCAGTTCTGTAAAACCACCATACTTGTATTAATCATGACTATGCTCTCTCACTATATGAAATAGGCTACACTATCATTACAACCATTTTAAACTGCAGCAAACTGTTATGAGCTGTTTACAGATATTTTTTTCCATAACACCTATCAAAATCATTATGAGAAAAAGCATATGTAAACACAAGTTTTGCTTGAGAATTTCAATTCCATGCAACATTTACTTAAAGATTCAAAAAATTCAGTCATTTTAATTCACTGAGTAAAATGACATGTACCCTGAATCATTCAGCAGTTAGAAGTATTCATATACTTTGGGAAAAGAAAGAACAAGCATATAAACAAAATAAAATCAAAACAAAAATAAATGCATGCAAAACTTGAGTCAGAAAATTTTATTTCTTTGCTGCTTTCCAAAAACAAAACTAACTTCATATAGCAGAGTGCTTTCTGAAAAGCTAATATTTGCTCAGCTAGTCAAGAAATTCCTTGCCTTTTACAGAATCAAGAGGTTCATAGATACGGTATTCGCAGTGCCTGCCACTGGTCTTTAAACTAAATCCTATCTATCCAGTCCACACTCTCATATTCCATTCCATTTAAATCTCTTTTAACACTACCTTCCATCTATGCCTAGGTCTCCATTTTGTCTCATCCCCTCATTTTTCTAACTAAAATTCTGTATGCATTTCTCATCTCTCCCATGCCTTGCTCATATCACATTCGTTATCGCATCACGCCCAATCTATGCTTTACCCATGGATACCCTTTGGATAGGAGTCTAGGTGAGCCCCAGACTTGGTTTGGACACAGGCGCTACAAGAAAAATCCTTCATCCATCCAGTGGATCAAATCCTGGTTGTTTAGACAGCAGTCAGTCACTATGCAGACTGAGATACCCCAATTACTTTGATAAAGGGTACAAATCACACAGGTCATCATTATGTAATCTCCTCCATCATCCAGTTCCTTCCCTCCAAGGTCCTCAAAACGTCGGTGATTGATCACCAACTAACACGGCTGATAGCCCGAGAAGACTTTATTAATTAATAAATGATATTCGAAAACATTCCTTAAAATTCTTACCCTTGTAAATATTTTTTCACAGCACAATTCTTCTTCTTGTTTAACACATACATACATTCAAACTACTTATTTACTACTGTTATGAGTACAGAGTTGACCTTGAATCTACAATATGCCTGTAAGAGGCCCAGTTCCTTCAGTGACATGTTACTCTGCAGAACACACAAGATATCAGCTAGTAAATAGAGATGACAAATACATAGCACACTATCAAATTCAGAACATGCAATTTGATCCTGTTCACAAAGCACGGTACACCACAGGAGCACAGCGGAGCCATTATAAAGCTATAACATCATTGTTATTTGACAACTGTTTCACAAAAGAATGTTCTGTTCAAGCTATGTGAACATTCTCTGAACTGGATATTTCTGTACGTGTAGTAGAAACACACACATGAACAACAACTACAGAGATCATCTGAAATCAAGGCTCACCTCAGAAAATGTTGATGGTATGGAAACCTCATCAGCTTTCATACCAATGGAATCTTCTTCACTCAAAACATCCACATAATTTTCTACTTTTATTATATCAACTTTCCGCTGCAAAAATCAAATAACAATATTGTCAGAATATACATATCTTATGCAACAAATACATATCCAGAACAAGAGACGGAATGTACAACAGCTGAATCCACACTGGAACTTCTAGAAATCTAAAGTCATAAATGCAAGGCTCCAGAAATATAACTGATACCTAATTCATCTTCACATAAGATATTCTGAAAGATAAGAAATGTGGCAACATAATGTGCTGAAAAGAAAACTCATGAGCTTGGTGTTTTTAAGCAAGAAATTAACATCTTTGTGTGGCAACATCATGGCATAAAGCCTGTTAAAACATTTTCTTATGTTGGTCGACACAAGATTCATCTTGTTAACTACAGCAAATGGAACAGATTCGAGAGGTTTGGCATAGATAACTTCAATGCAACACAAGACTCAATAAAGGTTTCCTAAATATGGAATTAAAGGAGTTTTAATAAGGTTGCAGGTGGAATGGGGAAACTTAGTGGAACACATTATTGATACAGGAAATTATTCCAACAGAGCAGGAATAGTCACATAGTTTAGAAGGCAGTTGACAGGCACTTGGACCTCATGCCTCAGGAAGGAGTCAGAGAACATTGAAAATACTCTTGGTCTTCAAGAATAGTTATGATTAAGAAACCACAAGGACATTTCCAAATTTGCTTGGACTTTCAGAAACTGAACTGATGGATTCATATCCTTCTCCATACATCAAGTCTACTAAACACACTGAGAAACAATAAGCACATTAATAATTCAGATTCAAAGAATGGGTTTGGTAGATTTTGCTTCAGGTGAGTAGCAAGGAAAGGACTGCATTCACCTTCCCAGGATGCAACTGTTTCAACTGGACATTATGCCTTGTGGGTTGCATAATGCCCCTGTAACAATCTGACATACATTAGATAAGGCAGTGTTTCACGATGATGTAGTGGTTGTGTAAACTCAGTTTTCTGAACATTAAGAATTGTTAAGGAAGGTTTCTGACAAATTGCAACATGCAGGTCTCTGGATGAATTATGATGTCTCACTTTTATTGACTTGAGTAAGGATATTTAAGACACACAGTGACATATGTAAGGGCTGTCATATATCTGAGTAAAGGAACGGTGGTAGTAAACAATCCTCCTCACATGAACTTCAAATAGCTGCGATCATTAAAAGGTTTGATTTCATGGAAGTCACAAGTTAATAGAATAGTTTTTAATACATGAGTTGGTTAGCTTGTTACTGAATATGGAGACATTATGTTCCTATGAAATTTTCGTATCTACCTGTACGTCCATATGACATTACTACCCAGGTGACTTAACATCAACAACTCTGTCCCACTGTATGAATACAAAAACTACAGAATAAGATAATAACACTTTCAAACATATACAGATTTTGCAAACTGTCTAACAAATTAAATGGCAAAATGAAGTATCCAAACAGAGTTCACTGGAAAGAATTGGCAATATTGCATATTTGTTAAATATGCCTAACAATGGACATACAAACATAAAAGTTACCTCATGTTCCACCTTCATTTCTGGAAATGTTATTAACAGAGGATCCTCCTCTTGAATATCTGTGTCCCTCTCAACTTTTATACTAAATATCTGACTTCCATCACAAGATGATGTTGGACATGCCTCAGTACATGAACCAGGCACAACTTTCAGTAAATACATACAGTTCTGTAAAACCACCACACTCTCATGAATCATGACTATCTTATCTCATTACATCTGTTATGTACTAAACGAAAATTATAACAGCTGCTAGTTCATATTTTCTGATTCTTTGTAGTGCAGATAACGTATGGCCATAACTTTGTAGTGGTGGGTCCGTCTAGTTCCCTCAAGTTCGTTCCAGTGTAAAAGTCCTCCACAGAGAGTCGTTCCTCAGTTCCACACAACTCCAGGATCTCATTTGCACTACGATAATGTCACTTGTAATTACTGGCAGAATTTACAAGCGGAAGAGAATTTTTTAACAAGAACTTGTAAATTCTAATTCATACATTTGTTAAATATGATCCTTACGTTTCAGAAATATTACCAGTAGTTTATAGTTAATTTCGCTAAAAAGTCGTTTGTGTGTGTGTGTGTTTTGGGGGGGGGGGTAATCAGTTACCAAGCTCCTGAGTTGTATCTGAAATGGATTTAGTACAATCGAAATGTTACTGTAAATAATTATGCTGGAAAAAATGCACTGGTAGCTTTTTTTCACTCACAATCTTCATCTCTTTCCTCAGTACTAATATCTGCCTAGGTCCATATGCAACTTTCTGCCCCACACATTAATAAGAGCATATAATAACTTTTAAGTAGGCACATTTTCACTATCTTAGGCATTTCCCATTTTCTGACTGTCTTAGCTATTCATATAGTTTTCCTGAATTTTTATTCTTTTTGTACTTCTTCAACACTTCCATTTTCACTTGTTTTATTTCATGATTATTGTTATCTTTCCCATTCACCCAGTCTTTCAGCTCATTTTAACAACACAGTCATCTAAATTAACTTTTAATCTAATATCTTCATACACAGTAACAATATTTGGGAATTTCTTGTCTAAGGTGCTTTCATATAGTTTTCGTGCAACTGACATGTGCATAAACTTATTTTTGGTACTCCACTGTCATTTCTTTCTGTTACTCTACTTATTATATTTTACATAACCTAAGATGGCTGTCTTCTGGGTCATTGCTCTGTGCAGATTGGTAAACTTTTACCAACATTTCATAACCTCAAATCCTACTTGCATGACCTTGTTTATAAAGGCACAGGAGATAAAACACTTAAAGGTGTCTAGCCTTCCACAACACTATTTCATATCTGACACAAATATTCTTTATTGCAAAGATGGTCGTCTTCTGGGTTGTTGCGCTGTGTGGTCTGGCAGACGTTTACCGGCATTTCAGAGGTCCATGCTGCCTCCATCATCAGGGCGATGAGTAAGCCGTGTGACCAGTTGGTTTCGCACGGCTTACTCATCACCCTGATGATACAGACAGCCGCCACGAAAACCTCAAATCCTGTATACTTTTCTCTTGTCTACTCACTTTTGAATCATGATTCTCTGGTATATTTCTACAGAATGGCTAACAAATGTAATCTCTCAGTAATTTTTGCAAACTTTCCATCAATTTTTTTTAACTGTGATGATCAGACCTTCTCTCCAGTTCTCAAGCACTCTTTTCTTCCACATACTTCTCAAACCTACGTAAAGACTCTGGAGAAACTGCTGACAAATATAAATAAATTCATCATGAAATAAACCAGAATATATGCATGCAAAATACAAGGTTAGAGAAATTTATTTCCTCACTGTTTCTCAAAACTGAACCAACTCCACACAACAAGAATGCATATTGGGAAGCTACTAGTGACTCGCTTGGTCAATAAATTCCAGCCTTTTATGCAGCCCAAAGGTTCAAGGGGCATAGTGTTCACACAGCATGCTACTGGTCCCTACCCTGAGACATACCTACCCAGCTGACACCTTCATATACCAAGTTCTTAATCAATACTTTAAGATTATGCTCCCAACAACACCTAGGTCTTCAAGTGCCCTTCTTCTTTCACTTTTCAAACTAAAATTCTGTGTGTATTTCTCATTTATCTCATACAGCCTCTATGTGCTGCTTCCTCATCCTTTATCACCCCAGTAACATCTGATCAAAAGTACAAATGATAAAATTCATCATTATGCAATCTCATGCAGCCTCTGTTAATTCCTCCCTCTTTGATATCAAATGGCCATTTCACACACACACATACAAACCAACCACATTACTATTAGAATATTATTAGTTATCTGAACATTATTATTTTAATAGTGATATGAATACAGTTAATCATCATAAAGAATGTTAAGGACCAATGCTTGGGATAGTCCCATTTCACTTGTAACAGCAAAGTTCTTGTTCGACGGTAGCAACTATGGCGTCTTCAGTGGATCCTCGGTCACATCAGAACCCTGAAGATTGGGACAGAGTTTGCTCCTGAAATGTCAGTTTACTACGGTAACCAGTTAACTCAGCTGATTGCCTGAGAAGATTTTATTGATACTACAAGATAAGCTTTGTGCGTAGCTGTGTACAAATAGCATCATCACTGCATAGTACATTGCCCCACCTGACAGTGATATGTATCTCAAATACTAAATATAACATAACATTCTTTGTTTAACATTTGCTGTGTATATTTAAAAGAATCATACTACAGAGAGCTTGTGCATGAATTATTTCACCATACATACATTACTGAATTCAGACCATTATCCTGTTCACAATGGACTGGATCTTAAACACAAAGACATCAGAGCTAAATTATAAAGTTGCAAACAGTAATGTTATGCTATAATTTTTTCAAATGAAAAAAGTTCTCCCCACACAAATTAAACTACTGTGAAAATTCTCTGAATTCATTTTTATATAAATAACCTGAATTACAAAAGCCCACACAACAAAAATAATATGAAATGAAGGCTCACCTCTGGTTCAGCCTTTTTTGAGGAAAATGGTGATGGTATGCACACCTCATCACTCTTCAAGTCAATAGGAACTTCTTCACTCAGAATATCCACATCATTGTCCACTTTGAAAATAGTAATGCTCTTCTGTAAAATAAGAAATACAATATAACAATATTGCACAATAACACTTCATTGGCATCAAATACATATGCAAAACAAAACACAATATTTATATTCTGTGCAACAACAATTACGCACTTAAAATTGTCCGAGTCCAAAACCAGGTGCGATGTAAGCATATAGCTGGAATCATAATTCAGCTATTCATAGTGTCCTTATATTTGACCATATGTTGCTTTTCTCTACCCTCCATTAATCAAAGTTATGTCAGATGTCTAGTAACGTTTAACAAATATGGATTTAAATTTTCTCATGCAACCTCATGGCTGCTATAGAATATGACTTTAATGTTTTAAAGTGCAGAGAATCGTTCGATAAACTGCAGTGTATTTATTGAAGTTTTTAATCTTCAAACAAAATGTTGAGTACGAAAGATGAGTCAGTTTCCCCATAAACTGAAATTTCATACCTTTTCCATTTTAGTACCATGTTTTTATTCGTTCTTTGAAATATTTGAAAACAGGTAGGTTAGGATGACAAAACGTTTTAACACGTTATGCCATGGCGTTGCGGTAATAAATCAGATTACTTCATTCAGAAAAAAGTCACAACAGATGAAGGTTCGGTTTAGCTGGTTCTGAAACGTGAACTTCTTGTTTCTTCTCTTAAAATTCTTTGTCAGCTCACTGATAAACATTCCTTGTTATGAAAGTTGTCATACGAATTACTTGTAATCCATACAGTAAAAGTGGCATAAGCAATGCCAACATGTGCCGTTTTTGAACTGAAAACATTATTTCACACTAATCATTAGTACACATATATGGAAAGCTACTCTAAACACAATATTCTGTCATCTCTTGAACACACATCGGAGCGTGATAACGTAATTGTCACAATAACCTACTAAACATGCATTGACCGCTCAGGAAATACAACTCCCCGCCTTTGAGTGAACTCTGCCATCTATGCCACCTTAGAATTTGTACTTTATTTAAAGACAATTTTCAAGTATCTCAGACAACAGAGCATAAAATGACAGGATGATAGTGAATAATGGATTGGAAAGGAGGTGGAAAGAAACGGTCGTAGCGTAAGTTAAGGTACTACCCCGGCATTTGCCTGGAGGGACTGAGATAAACCACGACACACCTCAGTAAATTAGCCGGTAGTCACACGGGAAATAAGCCGTATGAATGTGAGGAGTGTGGTCACGAGTTTTCTTAAATATCTACTATAAATAAACACATGAGAACGCACACGGGAGAGAAGTCGTTTGAATGTGAGGAGTGTGGTCACAAGTTTGCTAGAAAATCTACTTTAAATACACGCATGAGAAGTCACACAGGAGAGAAGTCGTTTGAATGTGAGGAGTGTGGTCACACTTTGCTCGTAGATCTAATTTAAATACGCATATAAGAATTCACACGGGAGAGAAGCCTTATGAATGTGAGGAGCGTGGTCACCAGTTTGCTAAAAAATCTATTTTAAATACACATATGACAATACAAACTTGAGAGAAGCCATAAGAATGTGAGGAGTGTAGTCACAAGTTCTTAGAACATGGGATTTGAAATTCCATACGAGAACTCACAAGGGTGAGAAGCTGTATGTATGTGAGGCGTGCAGTCACAAGTTTCCTCAATGATCTCTTTTAATACACACATAGAATCACACACAAGAAGTTATATGAATAGAAGAATAGTTATCAAAAATTTCTATCAGATATCTGTTATGAATACACAGCATAATAATGCTTATTGCAGAAAAGATTGTGTAAGAAGCATTATAACAAGTGTTTACATATTGAATTGAATATGACAGAAAAGAAATAACACCAGGATTGAAGTTAATGACTGTCACAAAATCATCATCCACTTTGAACAATATAAGTGCTGCATGATATGAAGAAAATTTAAGAGCTATTGGTTATTATTGGGTGTATATTGATGTTATTGTTTGTACAATTATTTCTCATCATTGTTTATTCATCACTGAAAATCTTTGAAATTTAGAAATATATTTGTTACTTCATATCCATTCTTCTCATTGGTTATTTTTGTTATAAGTGAAGTTAACTGGAGTTTTAGGAAATATAATTGTAATGCTCAATACAATGGATAGATGAAATAGTACAGTGTGCTTCATTCAATAAAAACTAAGACATTAGCGTGTGAGGACTAATTAATATTTTTTATATAAATATCTGGAGTTTCAAACAATCCAGTTTATCTCCTTCATTATACACACAGATATCTGATGTGTCCTGCTATTTGCTGAATGTGTCTGACACTATTCTTTCAAGAGTATGTTTGATTACTGCTTCACATTCTTACAATCACTGTCACGTCCTAATATATCTTACTGTTCAGAACCCTATCTAGTGTTAGGAACCCAAAAACATCTCTCCCTGCCTATGTTAGCTGGCTAAAAGAGTGTGGAACCAGTGCAGCATTGAGCTTGCTGAAGAACTAATAAACTGTTGAATGAGCGAGCACTGTTGTAAATTGTGACAACCAGATTATCACACCACTCACTTGTCTGAGGCATTTTTCAGCTGTATGATTACTGTATCAATAAGTGGATAAAGACCACTAGTCCAGAAATTATCTTCTGGATCTGAGAGGTACTGACCAGTACATAATTCAAAGTTCTCATTTACTACAGGATTTCCTTTTAAGAAAATTATGCTGTTGCTCCCCACTGTTTGTCACTTCTGATGCTCTAACATTTATTTTGTTAAAGTGGTTGCTCATGTTTTAAACTTACTCAAGAGAATTCTGTAGAAACCCTGAAGCAGATATTACATTTATTTGTTTGTGCTGAAACATGTTAGACACTTTATGTGTACATTTTGAAACTCAAATTTCAAGACCTACCAAGAAAATCATGTCAAAGTCCTGCAAATGTTAAGTACAGTTGACACTTCACTACTTTCAGTAGAGGCTTTTATTCCCAAGAGCAAAGTATTACATCATTATACTTGAGCTGCAAAAGATCGAAGTTATTACAAGAAGACCACTGACTAAAGCAAAGTATCTTTGTGGCATCAGGTAAACCTATGAGGGGGACCCTTTTCAAGATCATAAAAAGTACTTGTTTTGGGCAACCATTTCACAGAATATTTAATAACGAAATTCAAATCATGACTGTCACAGTGAATGTATTTGGCATATGGGCTCTTCACAGGTAACCAAGCTCCTGCCATATACCTGCACCATCATAGCTCTGATCTTTCTACTTTGAAATATGCAGTCTATCATTTAATGACTGTATTATGTGAATTAATGTCCTCTGGACTTTGAAAGATAAATTCAATAATATCAATACATATCAGATTTATAGACATTTCTTCTGGTTTTGCAGTGACAGTGCTTATTTTTACACTTACATAGCAAAGCAAAATCTTGTGTAGTGCCAATAAAAGTTAAATAAAATGGGCATGACTTCACTTCTTCAAGAATGTCAACATACTTATTTGAACTCAGTAGTTCTAATATATCATTCTGAAGAGTACAGATAAGTAATGGCTCCATTGGTTTTCCATAGTATTGCGTGTGGGTAACATAACAATTGTAGGAAATTTATAGCAATTCTACTAGTAAATAAAACAGCATCTGACTCCAATGCATGACTCGAACTGCTATCCAGAACTTCAATATGAGACAAAAAGTTTTCAGCAAAGCACTGCCAAGACTTCCACAAGACACCTCTCACCCTAGCATGTATGACAGCCTGTTTCAGATTTAATGTTTTACTAAAAGAGTCTCCCAGCATTCATTCCTTTATAGTTCTGTCTGGCAGTATCACAGTGCAGTACAATAATTTACAGATTTTATGTGCATGTCATCAAATATATCCAAAGAGGAGAAAACATTGTCCACATAAAGTTCACAGGCAATCACTTCCATTCTCTAGGTAAGACTCATCACTGCTGCATGAGCTGTCATAGTCTGTGTTTCAATTTGCCTGTCCCATCCTTTACAATAAGCTGATAAAGTAAGTGTAGGCAGTCATGTTGCAAAGTTTGTAAATCTTTATATGAAAGCAACTGTGTTTCTTAGGAAAGTATTGCTTGAATATAACTCCCCCTAAAAACAGTGAAATACCTTCAACTGCAATTAGATGTTCAAACGGACTGTAAAATTTAGCATAAATATCAATATCAGTGAGCATATGAAAGAATGATCTTATTTTCCAAGGTTTCTCATAGTTCTTCTTGGTCTTGACTGGTTGATTCATATTGTTGCAGAAATCTCAGTAGAAAAAGAATTGATCATATTTCATTAAAATGGCATATAAAACTTAAACAGTTGACCACTAACCTTCCAGCAGTCTCACATGTAGGGCAAGAACCAAAAATACATATCTTCCGTACAGTCACATCAGGAAGTCATGAACATCTGTTGTCATTGTCTAGCTTGCCTAAACATTGGTCATAATATTTATTAGTCTCTGCCACCACCCAATGATGCATTCTCCCATCTGAAATTTTATGTAACAAATGCAAATAATAAAATGTAATTTCAAGAAATATGCACTAAATGTGTTTAGTGTTATGACAGATATCAACAAACCAAGTGGTGACAGAAATTACCCCAATACTAAGAAGATTAGTGTCTTCTGAGTTGTATAGTCATGTAGTCTGGTAGAATTTTACCAACAGGGTAATAATTAAGGCAGAAAGGACCTCTGAAACACTGATAAACGTCTACCACATGAGAACCTCAAATCCAAATCCTACCCTAATACTCATTGGACATTCTCCCATTGGAAGATAATACAAATTGAAATCTATCTTAAAATGAAACTTAAGGCTTTATTATGCAAATATGATTAGTATTGTAGTGTGTTTGTCTTCGCCATCACTGTGCTATATAAAAGATTGTTAAATGTAGGAACATACATTTTGTTCAAGAGTTCTGAAATATGTTATTCATCAGAAATGTGTTTACACAAGTATAAAGAAAGAAACAACTTCAGGGTTACCTGAATATAACATTTTTTAAATGTACTGGCATACACTACACAACATACCTCAATCACTGTATCTTGATGTACAGAATGGCAACTGTTTATGTAAAGTAATATTTCATAGGAGGTTAAAATATATTAACCTCAGGAGTTCAAAAGCAAGTTCAGTAAAATATCTATATCTAATGGAAGTGACTAAATGACTTAATGAACACATAACTAGTTTTCATTTGAATGTACTACCATTCCATGTGAATGCAAGGTCTTCAGTAGTAACTACACAGAGGTGTTAATTCACCAAATGAAACAAGGGATTCTGTCTCTACCAGAGATTATGCCACCCAAATTGGGTTCAAAGGCATTTACATTTTGGCAACTGAGACTCTAGGAGCAGTTCCGTCACATTCATTAAAATACATATGAGTTTGAAACTCGGTGGAAAGCACAACAATCGGTTTCTGAATTG